TGACAATCTGACAGTCATTTCTTTTTTCTCTCATTCTCTTATACTCTAGGAAGCTAGAATGAAGCTAGTTTGTTTTGTTTCATTTTTTAATGCTTTCCTCACATTCCGAGCTTAAAACATCAGGATTGAACCATGGAGTCGTTGGTGCTGTTTGAGCTTGGCTGTATTCTAGCAGATGTTTCATTTCCCAATAAGTAACATCAGAAAGACATATTTTATTTGTTGCTGCATTGTTTCTCCAAGCTTCTCTCTAAGGCTCTCTACAGCAGCACACACAAGTTAATTTGTCCATCGCTGTATAATTCAGACTTGATTTTATTATAGACTGATCTGAGTTTACCAATGTTTGTTTTATTTACCTCTTGTACAATTAGGGTATCTCTCCAAAGTACAGGTAAAACTAGAAAAATTAGAATATAGTGCAAAAGTTCATTTATTTCAGTAATGCAACTTAAAAGGCGAAACTAATATATGAGATAGACTCATTACATGCAAAGCAAGATAGTTCAAGCCATGATTTGTCATAATTGTGATGATAATGGCTTACAGCTCATGAAAACCCCAAATCCACAATCTCAGAAAATTAGAATATTACATGCAATCAATGAAACAAGGATTGTACATAGAACAATATTGGACCTCTGAAAAGTATAAGCATGCATATGTACTCAGTACTTGGTTTGGGCCCCTTTTGCAGCAATTACTGCCTAAATGTGGTGTGGCATGGAAGCTATCAGCCTGTGGCACTGCTGAGGTGTTATGGAAGACCAGGATGCTTCAATAGCGGCCTTCAGCTCTTCTGCATTGTTCAGGCTCATGTCTCTCATCTTTCTCTTGGCAATGCCCCATAGATTCGCTATGGGGTTCAGGTCAGGCGAGTTTGCTGGCCAATCAAGCACAGTAATCCCACGGTCATTGAACCAGGTTTTGGTGCTTTTGGCAGTGTGGGCAGGTGCCAAGTCCTGCTGGAAAATGAGTCAGCATCCCCATAAAGCTCATCTGCAGAAGGAAGCATGAAGTGCTCCAAAATCTGGTAGACGGCTGCATTGACCCTGGACTTATTAAGCACAGTGGACCAACACCAGCAGATGACATGGCTCCCCAAATCAATACAGACTGTGGAAACTTCACACTGGACTTCAAGCATCTTGCAGTGTGTGCCTCTCCATTCTTCCTCCAGACTCTGGGTCCTTGGTTTCCAAATGAGATGCAAAAGTTGCTCTCATCAGAAAAGAGGACTTTGGACTACTGAGCAACAGACCAATTCTGTTTTTCTTTAGCCCAGGTAAGATGCTTCTGATGTTGTTTGTTGTTCAGGAGCGGCTTGACAAGAAGAATATGACATTTGAAGCCCATGTCCAGGATCCGTCTGTGTGTGGTGGCTCTTGATGCGCTGACTCCAGCCCCAGTCCACTCCTTGTGAAAGTCCCCAACACTTTTGAATGGCCTTTTCCTGACAATTCTCTCCAGGCTGCGGTTATCCCTGCTGCTTGTGCACCTTTTTCTTCCACACTTTTCCTTTCCACATAACTTTCTATTAATGTGCTTTGATACAGCACTTTGGGAACATCCAACTTCTTTTGCAATTACCTTTTGAGGCTTTCCCTCCTTATGGAGGGTGTCAGTGATGGTTTTCTGCACAACTGTCAGGTCAGCAGTCTTTCCCATGATTGTGATTCCTACTGAACCAGAGTGAGAGACCATTTAAAGGCCCAGGAACCCTTTGCAGGTGTTATGGCTTAATTAGCTGATTAGAGTGGGACACTTTGAGCCTAGAATATTGAACCTTTTCACAATATTTTAATTTTCTGAGATTGTGGATTTAGGGTTTTCATGAGCTGTAAGCCATAATCATCTTAATTATGACACATCACGGCTTGAACTATCTTGCTTTGCATGTAATGAGTCTATCTCATATATTAGGTTTACCTTTTAAGTTGCATTACTGAAATAAATGAACTTTTGCACGATATTCTAATTTTTCGAGTTTCACCTGTATGGCCAAATCCTCCAGCCACCATATTATTCTGCAATTGCTGGTAATACAGAAATTATTTGAATGCTTACATTTTAACTTTTGATTGCCAGAAAGCAGCACAAGTTGTGAAATCCACTCTCTCATATGCCATTCTTGGGGGGATGCCAGGTGGTGCGTGGAAAATAAGCTAGTAAGAAGCTGCTTCGCCAAAGCAGAAGATAAGGTCAGGTTTAACATCTGCTCTACAGATTCAGCAGTTTGCTATAACCTGCACAGCCATCTAGTATTCAAGATACTGATTTTTCCAGGATTATTTAAGCTTTGCTGGAGGAATGTTTCATCCATCTACTAAACATGCAAATCTATTGGCAGTATGTAGTTTTCTGAAATTACCAAATCTGTCTGAAATATACAAGATGTTCATTTGAATCTCCTACCCTAACATCAAATCAGCAAAAATTTCTCATTTAATAAAGCAGGGCAACAAACTTCATATAGCAAGCAATATCAGGGGGCTTGATGTAATGATTTTTTTTAAAAAAAGTTTTTTTAACGGTTAAATGTTTTATTTTACGAGATGGCTAGGATCTAGCAGACTTGAAAAAGTAAAATATTTAATTGTATGCTAATTTCAGTCTGATGAAAGCTTAACTGATGAAGTCTGCTGTTGATCCCAAATATAGAATGAAAATGCATTTTGAAGTCATTGTTATATTACACGCATATGGCATTAACTGTTTCTCAGCTTTTTAGCCATTCACAATTTCATTTTGAATTTCATTGGCTTATTTTCAAATACCTATTTTCACAAAAATAGTCATTTCTGTTCCATGAAAGTCATTTGTCAACGTATAAAAATGGTAAGCATTTTTTAAGAGTCATTTCACACCAAATCTCCAGATGTATACTGTTGATAAAAAGACCCTTGACCTTGAGGCCCAAACATTAATTCTGCTATCATTTTATGTGTTCTATGGTCATGAAAAGAATTGTGACACATCTGCAGCAAGTGATTTATGCAGATATTGAAGATGAAAATTACAATCCATAAATCTCCTATCTTAAATTTTCAAGGCTTCTGGAGCAGTTTTATATATTTTTTTCTCATGAGATTAGGAGTGGTAGAATTTTGAAGTTATTGCTGACAGTCATATTTGATGCCATGGTGTTCCGGATGCCTCCAGGTCACTCATATACTTTAGTTCCTTTTTGAACTTAAAAAGGAATTGTGTATAACTTGTGAACTTCATTTCATGAAGGAAGGTGTACCAAAGGAGCAGAAAAGATATTGATATTAAAGCTGGAAATAGGATAAAATTTAATTGAGATGGCATCTCTTTTTCACTAAATGCTGGGGGGCAAAGGGGAAACTTGCTAACATCAACTAAAAGAGTGGACATACCTAGAATCCAAATGATATCTACGTTTTTCATAAGTGCATTCTACTTTACTCATTTTCTCCCATCGTTTAAAACCATTAAGTAAATTACTACTAAAGTTGAACACCCAGAAAAGTTTTACATAAAATTCAAGAAAGTAAAAAGAAATAAAGGAGAAAGAGAGCGAGAGAGAGATACATGTGGGACAATATTTGGTAGAGAAACAATGAAAGATATAACCAATACACATTTTCTGGAATACAAAGTCTCACCTTGCAACAGGATGTGTCGCCAACTTCCAACGTGCTCTCCGTAGAAGTTTTTAACCTTTCTTTTCAGGGAACCGGGGCGGGGTGGGGAGCAAAGCTCAGAAGCAATATCTCCTGTAATGGCCCATGCCCATGGACTGGCCTCCATCAAAGGTCAAGCTGGTATGAAACTCTCCTTAGCGAATGAGGGAGTGGAAACTCTTAGCTTGTGGATTAGGCTTTAAATGTTTTCTGCTTTGATTGATATGTTTATTATACTTCTATATAGTCTGTTATATGATTAGGTCATTATGCAAAATTGGTAAGTGAACAAACATTACTGTAATTTCAGCTCAACATAGTTTGTGTTACCTTTGCTCAAGGATGCACTAAGAAAACTACATTCCCCAAAAGTAGAAACACATTTTCTCTTTAGATGTAACTTGTAATGTTTGAAGTTATGATGTTCTCTGTTGTGACTTTCAAACATTTTACCTCCTGCATTTATGATGCATTGCTTTAGCATTACATTGACTTGTTTTGTTATTTTTAAATGTGTAATGTCACTGCTTAATGTTCCTGCCATTATCGATATTTTGCATTTTTAGATTACAGTCTTATTACTCCTAGAAAGGTCTTTGATGGTGCATAGAACAGTTTGGTTCTTCTGTTTTAGGGCCACAGGGGGGGAAAAGGTGGGAGTCCTATACTTCCTACCTGACCTCAGGTTTTTTATTCTGGGCCATTTAAAATTATTTATTAGTCTGTTTTTTGATAAGTCAGCAGCAAATGAATTACAGATGAATTAGACTTTTAATTCATATAATTCCAAGAACAACTTTCTCTGTATGTCTAGGAATTATGACATCTGGAGCTGATCAGGTTGGGGTAGGTTTCCCCCAACTACTTATCTTTAACCCTTGGGCAAATCTCTATCTTTCATTTTAAACTTTAAATAATGGTTTGCAGCCAGACTGTTTGAAGGACCACCTTTCCTCCGTTAGATTTATCCAACCCATCAGGGCAGGAATTCAGGGTATGGTGTGGGTCCCAACTATTAGAGGTCTACATTAGTGGGACCATGAAAAGTGTCTTGGTGGTGGTGGCTCCTTCGCTATGGGGCTAAATTCCCATGAAGGTACGATTGCTCCTCCCCTGTTGCTTTTTTGAAAAACGCCAAAGACATGGCTATTCAGCAGGACTGGAGATCCCAAATGGAGATAGAGCTGATCAAGTGGCTTATCAGATGGTCTTATGGGGGGGCGGTATGGATTTTATTTTGTAGTTTTAATGTTGTAAGCCACCCAAAGTCAGCGGTGTATGAATTGGGCAGCCATGTAAATTTGCTTACTACGTAACTAAATAAACAGGAAAATGTCTCTTTGCTATTTCCAGGTAGTTATGTATATTGGTCAAGTCATGAAAGACCTTCTGAAGTGGCCTCGTCCACGTTCACCACCTGTTGTCAAGCTAGAAAAGAAGACGAATGCAGAATATGGAATGCCATCCACACATGCAATGGCAGCCACTGCCATCTCTTTCACTTTTGTATCTGTGACTGCAAACCAGTACAAGGTAGGAAGCAGCAATTCTGATTTAATCTAGTCAAGTTCCATGACCTAATTTCATTGCCTTATTTGGTCAAATATCAGTCCCTAAGCCTCAAAGTATTTCAGTGTTATTACAGTCCATTTTTGTTTCATCCTCTTCCTTCTCATGTATTGCTCTTCATCGGACAGTATTAACAAGTTTTTAATTGTGGTTGAAAAAAGTCATTCTCCCTCGAGCCGCTCGGAGCATCCAGACTGTGGGATGTGCTTCTGAGTCCTCTTCTTTCAGGCTGAGCTTTAGACGAGGAAACGCTCCGCCCCTCCCACGTGGCATCGCGCAGCGTCTCCCCAGTCTTTTGCTCAGCCTCGAAGAATCAGGCTGCGTTTCAAAGAGCTCCTTGGCTGTTTCATTGAATCCTCCGTCCTAATAAGGTTTGCTTCCTTCCTCCTCCTGCGCAAAGGGTCAGGACTCAAGGGAAATTTTTTCCCTGTCCTCAGGGCGAAGTTGCGGGCTCGCAGCGCCTTCAGCGCGACGCCCCCCCCCACCCTTATCAGATCGCGTCGCTGCCTGCGCGTTGCCTGTGGCACGCGCTCCTCCGCTGGATTCCCCCCCACCCTAAACGCCAACCGGGAGGGCTATCGCCCCTAGGGCTTTAGGAGCGCCGAGCTGACCGGCCAAGCCTTCCTTTTCTTCCGTCCCGAAGGCGCCCAGGCAGTTCAGCTCGAGGACGCCATTTTGGCTCCACCTCGTGGCCGGGCGCTGAAAGTTTCTTTTTATTTAATATTCAGCTGCGGTGAATTAAATCTCCAGGCCTAGGGTTAAAGCCTAGCTGCCCATCGAACTGCCTGGCTAGTCTTGGTTAGTGCTTGTTGGCCTCCCGCAGCCCTTTTCGGGGCGAAGTTGCAGCCTCCCCCCCCTCCGGTTTTTTCTTCTGTTGTCTGGAGGCTGGCTGCCAGAGGCCTCCTATTCAACTCTAGGCCTCAGGCGTTATTCGACTGATTTGGCACTGAGAGATATACATCCAAGGAAATAACTATAATAGAATTTATATTTGATCCAAATACAAAAGGAATAATAACAAAAAAGAAATAATATTTTTGGTACAGCAATTTTTCTCTTAAGATATTGGATATATCGGAGTACCTGTATATTCAGCTGATATAAAGAATATAAAAAAGCACTACAGAAAGGAACAAAACAGGATTACATAGCTAAATATATATATATATATTTCTGTTATCTCTGTACAAGTAAAATTCCAAAAGGGGGAGCGGGCCAGCCTCATCCTCACCCGGCCTTATCCAGGCCTGATCTGGGCGAGCCAACCGCCCTTATTAATCTCTATTGTTCAATATGGCAGACGACAATTCCTCTAAACGTCCTTCATTGAAGGCCAAGGCAAAGTCCCACTATTTGCGCAAGCAGGACAAGGAACCTAAGGGCTCTAGAAAGGACAAGGAACCTTCCAAGGCCTCTCAACGTGACGCCTTAAGGCGCCACAAGGCGTTAGAAAAAGAGTTCGACAGGCGTTCAAGGGAGTCCCGCTCTGAACCGTCTCTACCTCCTCCTCCACCCCCTACCTCTATTCAACCTCTCCCCCCAGGCCTTTCTTCCCTACCTAGGCGCAGTTCGCCCCAGGGTCTCCCGACCCCCGGTCCTACGATGAGTCTGACACCCGAAGCCACTTTTACACCCACGGCTGCTGGTCTGCGCCAGGACGAACCTTCTACATCTGAGGTGCCACCTCACATCAGGGCTTGGATGGAATCAGCCATCCGCCAGAGTGTTATAGAGGAACTACAGCACATGTCCAGATCAGGCTTCTCTCCTCGAGTCTCCGAGCACGACTCCTTGTCTATCAGATCCCTTCCACAACCGGTCCCCCCGGTTGCTCAGGTACTCTCTCAGAGGGACAGCCCTCCTCCGGTTGGGGCCCAGGTTGAGGAGGAAGGGGACTTTAGGGATTTCGAGGAGGAGGATTCCCAGATGGGTTCCTCCCGCTACAGTGAACCTCCCTTAGAGACTGACATCATGGAGGGGGAGATGTCCGAGGACGAGGGCACTTCGACTGACCAACCCTCCTTTGGGGGGCTCTTCAAACCACACATGTTCAAGTCCCTCCTTCTTAAGGCCAAGAATGTCTCGGGCCTTCTTTCCCAGGCCCCTGCTGACCTCCCCCCCATCCCAGAGGGCCCAGAAGATTCCATTTTCACCCAACCAGTGGTTGAAGCTGAGGTCATCCCTTCCCCCCCCATATTCGTAGATCTGGTAGCGAAGCAACTATCCTCCACAGGGACCCCTCCCACACCCTCTAGCCAAGACAAGAGGTTCTTTAATCTCGATTCGGCACTGTCCAGCCTCCTGAACATTCCAGAGGTCGATGACCCTATTGTGGGTCTAGCTTCCTCCTCTACACCTAGTGAGGCCCTAGAGGCCTTGAAACCTGAGGATAAGCGGGTGGAGCTGGCCCTGCGCAGGGCCCACCTATCCGACGCCTGGGCCATTAAGTCAGCTACCGCCGCCTCTTTTTTCACTAGGTCCTCTATCCGCTGGCTACGTCAGCTCAGGGAACACGTCCCTGCTTCCAACCTGAGGGCGCACCAGGACATCGCGAAGCTAGTGGCTGCAGCCAAGTTCTCGGCTGACGCCACTTACCAGTCGGTGAAATTCTCTTCCAGGGCCATCACGTCCCACGTCACGGCTCGTCGCCTGCTATGGCTCAAACACTGGCAGGCGGACGTAAAGAATAAGGTCAAGCTGGCCACTGCCCCTATTACAGGAGACAAACTGTTTGGCCCGGCCCTCGAACCCCTGCTGGTCGAGGGTCGCAGCAAGAGGAAGTACTTGCCTTCCCTTCTTCGAAGATCGGAGACCAGGGGCTCTCAGCCCTTTCGGAGGAGCTTTCCCCGCCCTTTCTACCAACCCCCCTTCCCGCCCAGATTCCCCCGACCCCCTTCCTTCCGATCCCAGGATCGCACGGACTCAGGCGACAGGACCAGGCGAGGGGGTGGTTATAAGAGACCCTTTCGGGGTACGGGAGGAAGGCCCTACCGCAGAAGGTAGAGCCTCCTTCTCCCTCCCCATTGGTGGCCGCCTCAGCCACTTCGCCGCCCAATGGGACAAATCCACTTCCGATGCATGGGTTAGAGACACAATAAGGTTTGGTCTCGCCCTCGAGTTCAAATCCACTCCCCCTGATCGTTTCTTCCCATCCCCCTCCTCAGGGGATCCCACCAAACGTGCATTAATGGATGCAGCCATCCATCACCTGCTTGATATTCAGGCCATTCAACCTGTCCCTCCGGCTCAGAGAGGAAAGGGATTTTACTCCCATCTCTTTGTCGTGCCCAAACATTCTGGGGGCTGGAGAGCCATCCTAGACCTGAAACGGCTCAACCGTCACCTTATCCAGCGCAAATTCAAAATGCACACCTTGCAATCCATTCTCCTAGGCACCAGGCGGGGAGACTGGCTGTCCTCCATAGATCTCTCTGAGGCATACCTTCATATTCCTATCAGGCCCTCTCATCACAAATTCCTTAGGTTCTGTTATAATGGCCTTCACTATCAATACGTGGCCCTACCCTTTGGGCTGGCCTCGGCCCCCAGGACCTTCACCAAGGTCCTGGCGGCCCTGGCGGCCCACCTCAGGAGCATTCCCGTCCGCCTCCACTGCTACTTGGACGATATCCTTATCCTGTCCCCGTCCAAGTCCCAGGCAGTCAGGGATACCAGGGTCACCCTTTCCGCCCTACGGGCACACGGGTTTCTAGTCAATTGGCAAAAGAGCCAACTTACCCCTTCCACCCGAATCAACCACCTGGGTGCCATAATTGATTCGGTCTCAGAGAGAGTTTTTCTCTCCCCAGAGAGGTTTCTTAGCATTCAAACCCTGGTCAAACAAATTAGACGTTCTAGGAGGGTGGCCTTGCTTGACCTCTCTAGATTGTTGGGAAAAATGGTGTCATGCATCTCTATTATTCCCTGGGCCCGCTTACACAGCAGGCCCCTCCAGTGGTTCCTGCTCCCGTTCCAAAGATCCGGAAGAAGCAACTCGAAGATCAGAGTCAAGGTCCCTCCAAAGGTCCTCACGTCTCTTCTCTGGTGGACCAATCCCGCCATCAACAGAGGCCACCTCTTTGCGGAGCCTCAAAGACTCACCGTCACTACCGACGCAAGTCTATCCGGTTGGGGCGCTCATCTCAACTCACTCTCGGCGCAAGGCAAATGGTCGCCGACCGAACAAAGATGCAGCATCAACTGGCTAGAGCTCCATGCCGTCCATCTGGCTCTGCGCTGCTTCCCCCAGATCCGCAGTCGCCATGTTCTCGTTCTCACAGACAACGTCACGGCCAAGGCCCATATCAACAGGCAAGGGGGCACCCAGTCAATTCAACTGATGAGGGAAGCCGAGCGCCTTTGCCGCTGGGCAGAGGCCAACCTTCTATCACTAAAAGCCGAACACATCTCCGGGATAGACAATACCCAGGCGGACTGGCTGAGCAGGGCCACGGTGGACCAAGCAGAATGGCGACTTCATCCATCCCTGTTCGAGGAAGCGTCCAAGATATTCGGCCTTCCAGTGGTGGATCTGTTCGCTTCCCCATCCAACACACAACTTCCACGGTTTTTCTCCCGGTATCCGTCTCACGGGGCGGAGAACCACAATGCTCTGCGCTGCCCATGGCCCCCAGGGCTCCTATATGCTTTCCCTCCGCTCCCGCTAGTGCCCAGAGTCATTCAGAAGCTCATTCAGGAGAGGGCAGACCTTCTCCTGGTGGCTCCCTATTGGCCCAGGCGACCGTGGTTTGCGGACCTCCGCAACCTATCGGTAGCGCCCCCATGGCGGATCCCCCCGGACAGGGTCTCCCTCTCTCAGGGGCCCCTTCTACATCCGGAGTCTCAATGGCTACAGTTAGCCGTCTGGAAGTTGAGCGGATCCGTCTGACTAGCGAGAACCTATCAAGCCATGTCATCGACACTATTTTGGCCGCCAGGCGACCCTCCACTACACGAATTTATGATGCCACTTGGAAGGGGTTCTGCAAGTGGTGTAGTGGGTCCCAGGTTGACCCTCTCTCTCCTTCCGTGGCTCAGATTCTGGAATTTCTTCAGGAAGGCCTTCGCAAGGGGCTTGCACCTAACACCCTGAGACGACAAGTCTCTGCCCTCTCAACAGTGGTCTCCTGTGATAACTACGGCTCCCTTTCCCATCACCCCCGGGTTAGATCCTTCCTTAGGGGTGCCACCAACCTGTGCCCTCCCACTGTTCACAGGTTTCCCACATGGGACCTCAACAAGGTCCTAGTTTCTCTTACACGTTCTCCGTTTGAGCCTTTGAGGGAGTCATCTCTTCAGTTCCTCACCTTTAAGGTAGTTTTTCTAGTAGCCATCACTTCTGCTCGTCGAGTGTCGGAATTAGCAGCTCTGTCAGTCAGGAGCGATCTATGTGTGTTCCATGCAGACCGGGTCGTCCTGCGGCCTGACCCCACTTTCCTACCCAAAGTTAACTCGCCCTTCCATAGATCTCAGGAACTGGTTCTACCAAATTTTTGCCCTAGACCCTCCGGGAACAGGGAGGTTCTTTGGCACACCCTAGATGTTAGACGGGCCTTGCGTATATATATTAAGCGCACTCAGTCCTTACGAAGGTCGGAATCTCTTTTCCTGTCCTTTCAACCCAAGACACTAGGGCTCAAGGTTTCTCCTTCCACTATCAGCCGCTGGATCAGGGCGACCATCGCCAGGTGTTACCTTTCCCATTCTCTGCCGGCACCCGGTGGAATAACTGCCCATTCCACCAGGAGTGCAGCCACTTCGGCGGCCTGGGCCACACAAGCCCCCATTGCTGACATTTGTAGGGCAGCCACCTGGGCCTCTCCGTCCCCGTTTATCAGGCATTACAAGATCGATACGTATGCCTCAGCTGAGGCCTCCTTTGGCCGGCGGGTCTTACAGAGGGTTGTCAATGATCCGGAGGGGCCTTCGGGCCAGACGGAGTCCCACCCATAGGACAGCCAAGCTTTGGTATGTCCCACAGTCTGGATGCTCCGAGCGGCTCGAGAGAGAATGGGGCGTTGGTCCTTACCTGATACGCCCCTTCTAGGCGAGCCGCGAGGAGCATCCAGCCCCACCCTAGCATCTCCGTCTGGTGGGGACTCCTGTTTTCAGCCAAGGAGCCAATAGTTGATTAGATAGGATTAATAACTTCTCTTCTCGTTATCGCAAAAAACTGGGGAGACGCTGCGCGATGCCACGTGGGAGGGGCGGAGCGTTTCCTCGTCTAAAGCTCAGCCTGAAAGAAGAGGACTCAGAAGCACATCCCACAGTCTGGATGCTCCTTGCGCCTCGCCTAGAAGGGGCGTATCAGGTAAGGACCAACGCCCCATTCCTAGAATATGGGACTATTTTACATCCTCAATCTCATTTCTGTAAAATGAGGATCTTTTGTCCCAGTGGGATTTTTGGGGGATATGCACAAATTCACTTTTGGGCACTACTTGATTAGTCTTTCAATTGTGGAGATGTTTATTTAGAGTTCTTCATTTAGCTTGGGGTACTTTGGAGGCTTATTTTGGAATGGAATCACTTGATGTTATCTACAAAACATTTCACCATCTATCTTCTTCAAGTAACTCATCCAAATAAGACTCTTGGGAAGCCGTAAGTTCCCTTTTCATTGTCTGAGTCGTTTCATCTCAGGTTTAGAAAAGGAAGATTCTAATTCTTTAGATTTATGGTATCCTCAAACTAAATTGTGGATGGACTGTTTTAAGTGATGAATAAAGATTTTATTAATATTCTTTCCCCTTATATTTTTAGTATCCACTTGAACTTGGACTGTTGGGAGCCTTCTTATTTTCATCTCTGGTAGGCCTCAGCAGAATTTACACAGGAATGCACACTGTGCTGGTAAGTTTTTACCATAGGTAACTGCTGGGAGATGAGAGGCAAGGAAAACAAATCATGAAATGCTCATGATGTCATCATTACTTAAATTACAAAATTTTGATGCAAGTCCATAATTGTGCAATTATTTAGTGACATCACTATGTGTATGTCATCATTTAAGAGTTATTACGGTTTGCATCGAATGTTACTGAATCTCTATATTACTCCTTATGATATGCCTATGTAGCTTGTTGGATTTCCCTTACCTGTTGTGTTAGTATAAATGGAAATATATATATATACTAAATGATTAAAAGAATATGTAGTTAAATTTTCAGAAGCAACTTATTTGTCACTTCTCACATGCCTCTCCTAAGCTTTCCACTTAAAGAAACCTAAGAAATTCTAGCATGATGTTTTCATAAACCAGGATTTGAAAATCAAGAACAGTGATTTGTTATTCTGTATCTAAAAGGAGAATAAGCCAAAATCTTTAGCTTGTTACTCTACAGCTCCCACTGTAAGTTTGACATCTGTGGAAAGCTCCTCTAACCAATCTTGCAAGAATTGTTTGGTACCACCTAGAACAAAAATTGAAGCAACTACTGCATGGAAATTTTTCTGGATACCTGATATATACTGAAAGTGGCTGTTGCTTTAATGAATAATCAGTCTGAAAATTAATCTTGTAAAATTTATGTGGTAGAAAAATTTGATTTTGATTATTTCACAGGTAGGATAATATTACAATTTATATTTCGAGAAATATCATTTTTTGGTCTGCATTGTAGAAGCAGCCAGCCAGTGAATATGGCATTATGTTCAAGATATAACTGATGCAATCTAGACTTATCAACTCTTAGCCATAAGTGTTCTTTAAGTAACTCTGGACCAGGAACTCTCAATACATTATACCATTAATCCATTATACCACTCTGAAGGGTTGGGAGAGGCATTAAGAATAGGAAGGGCTATGTATTCTGCCTTGAGCTGAAGAAAAGATAGGATATAGTAAAGTATAGCAGCAAAGTTAAATACAAAGCATTAAGTTAATTTTGTTTCTAATACAAGCTCAAAGAATCTGTAGACATCTCTCAAATCTGAACCTAAATAATAGAAAATTTGTTTCTTCATGATTCAAGACTTTGCTCACTGAGGAAATATATCTTTATATGCCTTTAGGTCAGGGATGTCAAACTCACAGCCTGCAGGCCAGATGTGTCATGAACTGGCCAGGCTCATGCCCAATTTAGGAAAGGGGAAAAAAGTCACCATGCATCATGTGATGATGCGAGTTTGACACCCCTGCTTTAGATAGTGTCTAACACTGCCATTTGAACTTCTACTTTTCTTGAGGTGTGATCTAATCAAATTAGAAGAAATTATGAAGTAAAACTCCATTATTTTACCTCGTTTGCTACATAGTGCAGCTATGATCGAGTGCATTTACTGAAAGTTAGACTTCATGTTATTTACAGGATGGGAAGATCAAACAAGACATTTTAATGATAATTTCAGCTTAGTCATATAAACGTCTTAAATAATTATAGCTGCTAATGGCGACATTTGTTTTTTATTCATCACTATGAATTTTGATGGAAAACCCTTTACCTTATTAGATCAAGACATTTAGGTCAGAACAGAGAATTCTCTCTTCCTCATTATAGAGCTTAGTTACCCCAGTTAGTTAATCAATCAGTAAAAATTCTGTGCATATTTTTTTCAGGATGTAATTATAGAAAAAAAATACTTCTTTAAAAGGGAAACCTTTGTTGGTTGTCTTAAAAGAGCATCATGACCTTAATGAAATTATATGTCAATTCATCTCAGTAGTTTACAATTCTGTGAATAGTTTTTCTTACCTCCAGAAATGAAATTAAAGATAAGATGTTCTGGAGTTTGAAGCTACTTATATATACAATAACATAGAGATATCTATTAATGTGCTCATGTTTCTAAAATAAAATGCTACATTGATCTCCAGAAGTCTCAACTAGACTTTTCTGATTGATTTAGTAGTCTCTTTTCCCCCCATCAGGCTTTTTTCTGACAAAGGGATAACAACCTTTTGCAGTCCTGATTGCCATTAAATGATGGGATGGTCCATTCCCACCACCTAAAAGTCTTACGAGTTCTTGCTTCAAATTACTAATCTCATAAAATTTCATTACACAGGAGGGAATAAGAAACACAGGAGTACTTGGAGGTAAAGAACATGCTCTGGTGCCAGAGACAGCATAGTTCTTGACGAGATCTGTGTGTCACGCATAGTTGAATGAATGGAAAGCTTCAAAGTGAGGGAATGGGATATGTGGTATACCCTTTTCTGTCCCTGAATTCTGTGGAGTCAGCCAGAGTTCTGAGGACAGAGTACTCAAGTTTTCATGAGATGCAATATGCTAACAAAGCAGAATCCTGGGATACAAAATGTATTCAGATGCAAGATGTTTTTCAGAAAGGAAGACCAAGATGATAGGGTTGTGTGGGTGACTTATTTTCTACCTTGTTTTTGATCCGTGTGTTTACATAAATGCCTGAATCGAGCCTTTCTGCATGTTATATGCATTTTCATAGATCCAATACAAATTATTTCCAAAGTAATTTAAATTTAACCAGTTTATTTATGTATATAAGTAAGAGTAAATTCTCCCAAATCAAACTTGACTCATGATTTTTACACAAACATATTCATGAGGTTTTCTTAGCATCAGTATAGAAATGACTTTCTATCACCCTTTTCTAGGATAGCTTTCAATTTCCTAGTCTAGCAGTAACTTGGGTTTCTTCTTGATCTGCCATTTATGTAGTAACCCAGTTCAATTCTGCTTAGTTTTTTTTAAAGATCAGTTAAGGTAAGTGTGGGTGCTACAACACAAATAATCCCTTGGCAACACACCTTCAAGGATGTTCTCATCACATGCACGCACACACACACACAGAAATTCAGAATGAAATGCGGAGGAAGACATAGAGTGACTAAAATATTATATTGAAGTTTTATACTATATACAGTATATTGTAGCACGAAAAAAATGTATTGATGTTTGACATTGGTTGTTTCTTTTTGAATATCATCTTTATGCACATGGATTAAAAATATTTTTATTCACAAATGCAGGTGCTAATGAACCGTTAATCCCTAGAAATATTATATCCTTTTGCTTGAAGGCTACTCTTTATACTTCACACTTTTGTTTATTACAGCTAAATTATATGGCACTTTCCAAGAAAGATCGGGTTATTAGATTATTGCTAGCTCTTGTTTTCAACTTCTTGTAAATCCCATGTTGTTTCCATTTCTGACATAATCCCATATGGGAATAGTTCCAAAAGCAATTTTCTGAAGAAATCTATTAAATCCAACAGTAATAATTTATATTCGTATATACATATACACAGGGTTAAACCTAGATATACTCTAGTATACCTAGTAATTACAACCATTTGGCTATAGTATACTTGCTGTGTATCCTATTATAGTAGTGGAAGATGAAAACAAAATACCAGTGCCTCTAGGCCTTCATAAGACCATAAGGAGCACCATAATGTTTGAAATAATATAACCCTTGGCATGTAATGCAGGAATATGATGATGAACCACTTCAGTTTCTGCCAGGATGCAGGAGCAGCCAGCTCCAAATTAAGGATATAGTATCTGATCAATCAGAATTTAAAGAAATATATAAAATCATGGATTTTCTGTGAAGAAATTTGTACTAACATCCCCAGAATGATGCTTTCCAAATATTTGGACTACACCATCCCTGCTAGCAATAGGAGCTGTAATTCAATATCTCTGAAGGATAGCAGACTAATGAAGATATGTGTAGAAATAGTGTAATGACCATGCATATGTGTGTGAAAGAAAAACTTTCATGAAAAAAAACCTGTGATGGTATTTGTTTCTTTTGTATGGAATGGAATTAATTTGAGATATATATACTAGCATTACTGATGTTTTAAACTTCTTTAGTGTAGATTATAGTAGCAGTAATGAAGTATTCAAAAACTGGTCTTTTGTTTTTCTTAATAAATGTAGTCAAGATGACTTCAGGAGGGTGTACATCACTGAACACCCTCCAGATTCCCTCTTTGAGTTAAATGGGTAGTTCAGAAATATGAAAAATAGATAAAAAATAAGATCGATCTACTATAGTCACAAATAATTCAGTTTTCATTAAATAACATGACATCAGGCAGTGGGCTCCAATCGTTGGCCTAAAATCACCCACAAAAAAGTAAACTAAGGAAGGAACATTAATTCTTGCAGAGAAATTACGAAGTTATTAAACTAAGTGCCTTTGGAGATTCTCAGTCATCCAGGAAATGGTTTTCCTAAAGCAGTTCAGAATGAAGAACTTTCTTGGATGAGAAGTGAAACGTTTTCAAAGGAAAAAAACAAAGAAAGTCTAGTTGCCTTTGGAAAGAACAACTTTGAATTATTAAACTGAGAGATTACAGGACGGAAAGGCTGATGCAAACAGAAGACTGACTTTTTCTTTCTTTCTAGCCATCAGAAATCTTAATTTAAGAAGTATTACTTCATTGCCTTTCAGCAAGAAGATCCAAATCTAAATTGTGGGTTTGCATACAGTGATATATGAGTATGTAGTCTGTCTATACATCTTACCTTAATTCTGCAAATACTGCTCTTGCAGAAATTCTTTCCTGTCCTCCGCCCATGAAGAGTATACAAGTGATAAAAGATTCCTCAGTTAAATTTTGCTTCGGTGAAGTAGTAGGAGTTGAAGGACATACATCATACCAGGCTTTTGCATTTTAGTTATGTTTCTCTTTGGCATTTATTCTTAAGGTATTTCTTCGTATGTCTACTAGACCTATAATGTTCTAAACCTGTTTTTCAATTCATACTAGTGTCTCTAATACCTTTATGTGTTTTTCCAGGATGTCGTTGTCGGCAGTCTAATTTCCTTATTTTTGACTGCTGTTTCCTCTCCTACGTGGGATATTGTGGAACACTTGATGCTCACCAGCCCTTTCTGTCCAGCATTCTGCATCATTGTGCCCCTGTTCTTGTGCTACAATTATCCCAAACTAGATTATTACAGTCCAACTAGAGCGGATACTACCACTATTCTAGGAGCTTCTGCAGGAGCAATTATTGGGTTTTGGGCAAATAATCACTTTGGTTCAAATGCTGCATCTAAAGGTGTCATTTACAGTGTTTCTTCCATCACTAGTGAAATTATCTTGCTAGTGCTTGCAAAATTTATTGTGGGGATTGGTGTTTTAATGATCACACGGCAGTTTGCCAGAACTATCGTTCGTAAATCATTATGTTCTTGGCACAAGGTTTCTAACAGTGATGTTGTAGCTATGCGGCAAACAAAAATTGAAGTGCCCTATAAATTTATAACCTATTCTTCTATTGGTCTAAGTGCTACAATGTTTGTGCCACTACTATATACATTTTTTGGATTAAATTAAATGCTATGCATTTGTTTTGTTTTTTAATTGTCCAGATTTTGGACTGCAAATTAAAAAGATTTGCAGTAGCTGGGGGGCTGGGATGATGGGAGAATGGAATGTGCCTTTTGCATAAGCTCTTTAGGATTGCTAATACTGGAGATTAAAGATGGGATTTAGTTATTCTAGTATTCAGTGTGAGAGAGATGGTCACAGACCAAAAAAGAAAAATAATCAGGAATGGCGTTTAATTCTATGTATATTGATGTATTATTACTAAGAATTACCAGCTTTGTAAGTTTGCATTGAGGAAACAATATAGTACAATATCAGTCTTCATCAGTTTGTAAACATATGTGACTGGGGATAAATGCAATCTATGATCTTCCTTGGAATGGAGATGCCGCACTATTCCTCTAGGGCAGTGATCGCTAACCTTTTCTGCACCGAGTGCCCAAAGTGCGTGCATGCACATGCATCCCCAAAATCCTGCACATGCGCCCCACTGCCGTGCATGTGCCCTGCCCCCTGTGCATGTCCTGCCCCATGCATGTGCGCACATCCCCACGCATGTGCACACGTATCCCCCACGCATGTGCACATATCCCAAGGCATGCAGCCTGCCCCGCGTATGCACCCCGGCCTCCACACATGCGCAGCAGAGACCCAAAGACCAACTGGTTGGCGGGAGGCACGCACACACATGCGTGGCAGAGTTGAGCTGAGTCGACAGCTTGTGTGCCCACAGGGCTCTGCGTGCCACCGCTAACACACGGGCCATAGGTTCACCATCACGACTCTAGGGTTTAAATGGCCCTGCCAGTCTCCATCCTAACCTTTTATCTTACATACCATAAAAATAGAGGTCTGAATTTTAATTTTTCTCTGATTTGTATTTTTGAATAAGAAGGGGTCTGAAAGATATTGATCGTATGAAGACATAAAATTCTTACTTCAAAATACTGTAGATGTTTCTTAGGAATGTAGCACTGACAGCATAAAGGAAGCAGCATTTTGCATTCTAATGCTAATGCAAGAAAAAGTTGCTGAGTTGCTTGTCAGTTTTTTTTCTTACTCATTCTCGTTCTAAACGTTACAGATGAGCAGGGGTGGATGAGATGATTGGTTATATGAAAGCACGTATGGAGACTGGAATAATTTATTAGTGGTACTGGTCAATTATTCTTCATATTTGCATTATAACGGGACCAGAAGACAGTAAAACCTCCATATCATAGCTTTTAATTTAACAGATTTTAGATATAAAATGTTTTTGTTTGGACTTCACCTCTATTCACTTACATCACGAATATAATATAATTACATAAATGAGGTAACCTATATAAATTGGAGTTTAACAAACATCTGGAGGATATACTAAACCATGGCTTTACTGTACAATGCATTATTGAATTAAGTAGGACAAATCTATTTGAAATAGATTACTGAATGTATGTTGTCTTCCCAACAGCTTTGGGTTTGTTTACATAACTTTTTTTATGAAGAGCACCTAGTCTATGCTGTTCAACAAGACTGCATGTATATGTTCTTATTTATAAATTATACAATGTTTCTATTTTTGTATCATTTTACCGTAATATGCTAAATACATAATCTGAAAAAATACCATCAATTGCTACATTCAAATTGTGTGTTTCTATATTTTTTAAATTAATACATACGTCATATATCTGTACCTGTAGCAAGAGAATATTATATAGCAAGAGAATATTTCAAAATATAAATGTCAAATGCTCTTAGCAAGGAAGCACTAACAAATACAGAATTTTCTGATTACATTTTTAGTTCTTGTAGAATATGAATTAAAATGTTAAGCAAGACTGCTTGCAAACATATAGAACTAGATATGGACACTAGGTAATGGGTTCATGATTAACATTTAAAGGAGGCATTCAGATCCTATAGCCTTGCCTCCATTAATTTGATCACTCCATCCAAGTGGTCTATACGTTAAAGATATTTATTGGGAATTCATTTAACAAGTGAGATTTTTCAGCATAAATCACTAGTGTCCAAAATTTTGCTTCAATTCCCTGTAATCTCATCATCACCACAACTTAGGTTCTCCTATGATCATTAGTTGGGCATTTTTTCATCGAAAGACTTAGTTACTCAATATGAAAATCTGCAAGACAACATCATGATGTCTAGAGGAGAAAAATATATTTCAGGCATTTGCAACCACAGTACATACAAATGGCAAAACTTCCTTATTCTATTTCTAGTATAGGAAAAAGCAGAGTCCATGGAAAATTTACTCTTAACACACAGCTACTTGCAATTGTATATACTACAACTAAAGGTAAATGAGTAGGCAAATAAATTTATTTTGACCATCTTTTTAATAGAATAAAAATGTATGGTGTAGCTACCATGGGGGGGGGGGACACAAGTTTATTTCTGCTTACAAGACACATGTATGCTTAGGAAAAATTTAACCTCTCAATTTAGTTAACATTTGTTTTTATAAATTATCACTCTATTTGGAGCAGCTGCCATAAGTTAACAGTCTATATTTCAATAACTAAATCATTTGAGATAACAAAAAATATTTAGCCAATACATATTTATGATACTTGACTGAACTTTGCCTTTAAAAAAAAGGACTGATGTCCTTAACTGTTAAAAAGAGCCTTTAACTGGTTAACAAAGCTTTTATTATTACGGTAATAAGGTATTAAATCCTAATAAAGCCTAATGTAACATTGGTCTAATAGTTTGACATACAGAAAATTGCTAGGCAGTAGTAAGACGAAATAAAATGGAGAATGAAGTTGGGCCAAAGGAGGATGTTCTTACTGGAAAGGCTCAATTGTGATTTCTAAAGCAGAACAGGGCATGGTGAGCTCAAATTTGGTGACAACATCAGGATGAAGAACCCCCAAGTTCCCAATGCTCTGTCCCTTGGCAAAGATCTCAGCACAACGACCAGGGAAGAAAGCAGAGTCTGAAAGCAAATAAAGGGACAATGGAGTAAGTATTTCTAGGAACAAACAGAAATCAGAGATTAACTCTCAAGAGCACCTAAGTTTCAGTTGGAATGGTTGCAAGTGAACAAAACTGGCTTCCCATTTTAGACTATTAACACAATCGAGGAAAAAAAAGCATTTGAAAAGGAAGCCTTTTTTCAGAAATATTTCTTTCTTTATTTGTTTATTTAAAAAGTTGGGAAAAGTTTTGCCAGGAGACAAATCCTATTTAAAATCTACATTTTCAACACAAGGTGTCCAAGTAGTTAATTAAAAAAATAAAACTTTTAATTTCTAGGTAAAATTAGGCTACAGATTCAAATAATTACAATGGAAATATCTGTATTATAACCCCGCTTGCATTTTTTTTTCATAGAAATATCAATAGAATTTCATAATTAAATGGTGATATGAAATTCTAAAGTAATAATGTAAACACTGTTCTGAGAAAATGTCGGCAGGATTCTATTTCAATAAGATATTTTGTGAAATTGATCTAAAAACTTTTTCATCAGATTAATAATCTGGTTGTGAATTACAGTATAAAATATGTGGGTCTTACAACTGCATTGCTTGGGATGGTTCATCCTAAAACATTGTCATTAGAATATTTTATCCTAAAAATTATCTGTTTGTATCTCTCCATCTCACGTTGGATTTGTAAAGAAACTTATTATTACTAGGCTCATATTGCCACATCTGAGATTTTTCAGTTGTATAACATTGTAAAGTCATGCACAAGGCAAAGGGGGGGGGGGGGAAGGGCTGTAAAATAAACCTCAAAAGTTTAATAGAAGTAGTTCTAAAATCATTAATATTAAATATAGCTGATTAATGCAAGGGCTCTAACAAGCATTTTTTTTTAAAAAAGAATAAGCTACTGTATTAGAAAACATTTCCATAAATTATCTCAAGCTTAGTGGATCAGCAGTAATCTCATTGTGTCTTCAGTTGTTTCGCAAATGTGTACCTGTGAAAACAGGATGATGTGAGAAGCTGAATTACAGCAACACCGCTTTATTTAGATTTATGGATTCTGCCACAAGAAAAAACAATACAGAACTGAAAGTAATAATGTCAATATGTAATATCATAATGGTCACTATTAAATCACTTCTTCGCTTGCAAATATGCACATGGACATAGTGGGAAAAATATTAAAAAGTACTTATACTGTGCAATGCAGGCTGGATCTAGCTATGATTATTTAAAAGTTAGGTTGCAGTATCCTCTTAAGTCTTTACCACTTTACAAAGAACAATTAAAATTTACAAATTACAAAACAATTAGTTTTGTATGAACTACACTATCATGGAAGGCTAATTTCTCAGCAAAAGTGCTCCTCTGTTCACAAGAGAAGATGTATGCTAATAGACTGGCCTAAAAATATGCAAACAGTTCTACAGAGGAATTATTGAGTCTATCATCTGCACTTCTATAACTGTCTGGTTTGGTTCTGCAACCCAACACAGACTTCAGAGGATAATTAGGACTGCAGAAAAAACAATTACTACCCACCTGCCTTCAATCGAGAACCTGTATAATGCACGAGTCAAAAAGAGGGCTGTGAAAATTTTTACAGACCCCTCACATCCCAGACATAAACTGTTTCAACTCCTTCCCTCAAAACAACGCTATAGAGCACTGCACACCAGAACAACTAGACACAAGAACAGTTTTTCCCTGAAAGCCATCACTCTGCTAAACAAATAATTCCCTCAACACTGTTCAACTATTACAAAGTCTGCACTACTATTACTGTTAATCTTCTCATCACTCCTTATCACCCATCCCCTCCCACTTGTGATTGTAGGACTGTAACTTTGTTGCTTGTATCCTTACGATTTATATTAACTGTTTCCTAGTATGATTTGATTGTTGATTGTACCCTATGACTATCATTAAGTGTTGTACGTTATGATTCTTGATTCTTAACGAATGTACCTTTTCTTTATGTATACCGAGTATTTACACCAAGACAAATTCCTTGTGTGTCCAATCACACTTGGCCAATAAAGCTATTCTATTCTGTTCTGTTCTGTTCTGTTCTGTTCTGCTCTGCTCTGCTCTACTCTACTCTATTCTAAGAACTAATCAAAGTGGGTACAGAGAGTCTTATTTCTCACAGGTAACAATTTTCTTTTTATTTATTAATTTATCTTTTTTTGGGAGATTTACAACAAGTAAAAAATGCATGATGCTCAGAATGCATTGGCATATTAGAGTTGCCACATCTGTAGTATAATAGCAGTATGCTTGAGTTGTTTTAAGGACCAATAATGTGCATGCAATTTCTGTTAAAATTACATGAAGTAAAATTCCTACTGCTTTGAAGAATATTTCTTAATGAAACTAGATTTTATTAAACTTGAAAGATTTCATTTTCAAATGCAAACATAAAAATAATTTATGTGAAAGAAATTCTTCAGCCCAATGGCATCTGCTTCTTAACGAGGTCATAGCAGACATCTGGCCATACATGTTTTCAATATATTAATTGGACTTTAATCCTGTATGAATGCATATTAGATTCAAGAACAATTTTGTAGTTAGGGTCAGCAAACATGTCAGCTCCTGTTATAAGAAAGTTCCCCGTGAACATAAATTGTTATCTTCCATGGTTAAAAAAATTGCAAAAAGGCTTCCTGTGAATTAATACACATAAAATGTTATTTTTCATGGTAAAAAAAATCTCAAACTATATCAAGTCTGTTCCTCCTAACTACTGAATTTTGTTGGTTCACAGGGGTTCTGTCCTAATAGTCAAATCAGATGGCCTAAGGCTGGGAATCACCAAACTACAGAGTAAGATGTATTGGCAAGTATATCTAATAGGTTAAAATTGTATTATATGATGCAGAAAAAGATGGAATCATACAAAAACACACATATTAAACCTCTACTTTAAAGCCCATAAAATCAAGACCTTATTACATGCTTTTAAACTCAAATGCTTCAAGGAATCCAAAAGACCAGACTGAATTTAAAAGTATATGAGTACTATAAAAGATAATTAAGGAAGATAAAGCAAAAATTCCAAAGACTTTAGATAAACATACTTGCCTTCTGAAAATGGCAGCTCTAAAACTTTTTAAACCCTACAACATCCAAATAAACTAAAATCAATGATCCATAGTAAGAAAAAGATTTCTGAAATGCTTTGAGGTTCAAAGAATTCTGTTATTAAACTTATGTCACTAAGAACTGATAATTGTCTTTGTGTTCTAACTCCAAGACTGCTTTGATTATTCAGGGTATCCTCTTTGGTCACTAATCCAATGGAAAACCTGGTCTTTAGCCTATTTTCTGGTTAATTGACCTTCAAAGAACTTGTTGAATTCTCAGTGTGCTTTACTGTCAAATAGCCTATACATAGCTTCTTTTCTTTATCAATCACCTTTCCATATTTGGAGTGAAAAGATTAAGGAAATGATATAGGATCAGAGTTAGCATCAGCTTTAAAGACTATACTGATTCAACTCAAAGCTTGAAAACAGTAAGTAAACAAAAATTAGATGTCAGGCTTCAATAATTAAGAGGAAGGAACTCTGCTATCCAGCATGATTATTAAAGGCTCAGTCCAAAATTTCCAAGAATTAATGCTTATTATCTTTACATGAAATGGAAAAAAATAGTATGGTACTTGCTGATTACAAACATTGTGCATTCATAAATCACATCAGGACTGATATCATCAGCCCTGAAAAAAGTAATATCTTTTCTAGGCAGTATAAGGAATTATTTTGCTGAGCTTGTGGAAGGTTAGTGTAATCTAACTGCTTAAGTTATAACTATGTAGAGATTGGGAGCATGGAAGCAAGGAACGTTTGCAAATACATGAAAAGACAACTTCAAAATGCTAGATATACTATACTATGTTATTTATTGTTTACATTTATAAGGCTGATCATTCTGGGTGGCATATAGAATAAAAATGAATAATAAACTAAAACAAAAAGGAAAAAGAAAAACAACCCAACCATACACATTAAACATACAAAGTATACAAATATAAAATGTGACCAAGCAATATAGGAGAGCGAGCTAAAGGGCAGTCTCGCTCAATTGGATCCTAATGCCTGGAGGAAGAGCAGATTTCCTAAAGGTAGCAGAGTTGGGGCCTTATCATATAGGCAGGGATCACTTAGGAGATCAGGACAACCACAGAAAAGGTATACTTTCTTGATTCCTCATTAATTATATATTTATAATGAAAGACCATGGTTTACTAAATTTTGCAATTAAACAAAATTGTGCAAATAAAATATAACAAAATACAGTTGTTATTTTTCTACTTTGCAATGTCTTTCTAAGCTATTTTCTACTGCAGATCATTTTCCATGAAGAAACGTGATTTTGCATTTCAAATAATATAATATAATCTATTCTCTACTATTCCCTAACATCTCTAACACACGTCCCATATGAAAGGGTAAGAAGAAAAAGAAGTTTACTGTTTACAAAACAAGGATAAAACAAGTAAACTAATCTGTGTAAGGAAAGTGTACTGGAAGAGAAACAGTTAACAGCCACTAAAGTTCTTAATACATGCAAGCTAATCCCCTAATTCAACAAGTACCTCTCATCCCTTTTTTGAAGATCAAAAAGAAAACTTTCTTTTACTGTATATTTGAAATCAGTGGGAACAGGTGTGGATTCTGGATAGGTATGCAGATGAAAAGGTATAATTACCTAGCTAGTCCACTTCAGAATCAAGGGGTCGGAATTCCCATTAAGAGGAAACATTTCACTTTTGTAACTTTCGTAATGGAGTATGTTTTTAATAAAATAAAGCTTAATACACATTAGTGTTTACATCAGCTGGCTAATACCTTTCTACAGCAGGATACAATTTTCCAGTGGTAATTTAATGCAAAATGTAAAGCAGATCAAACAATAGTTACAAACACTGTAAAATATAAGAGAAACAGACCAGAAACTGAACTCAGAGTCTGGTTTTCCAGACTATTTATTTTTGTTTATTTCTATTTCGTATTTCTAAACCACCCATCTCCCTCAGAGTGATCTTCCAACGTGGCGCCCTTTTTCATTCTAGGTCAGACAATCAGGGCAAGAACTAATTTAGCTTCCATATCCTGCTGCTCCTCGAGTCCCAGCAGTTCTTGCTAGCATGGCTAATTGTATATAAGGATGAGCCACAATTTCTATACTGTATCCTTGCTTTATGGAAAAGTATAGATAGAAATGTAAATTTTCCCATGGCAATTTATTTTCCCAGGTCAAAGTTTCTAACTACTATGAAATCAATTACAAGAAGTATGGTGTCTCCCATGGTTAGGACACTGGGTTGGCAGTTAGCAAGCCCATGACTTGAGACCTGAGTACTGCTGCGTGGCAGGGTGAGCTCCCTTAATTTGTTCCAAGTCAGTGAAGGGAACATGAAAGGAGCACCGGGAAATGGTGATGTCACCAGTTAATCCTTTCAGTGATTTGAGAGAAGGTGTGCTTGCAAAGGTGCTCATGTGATAGGCACCCAATCCCAGAAAATATGTTTGAGGTAAGGAGACACCATCAACAACCCCACCCAACCCCAAAGCTTTCTACTGCACTCTGTTAGCATCTCTTTACCTCAAACATTCCGCTCCTCAGGGATCATATTGCCACCTTATGGGCCTAGGAAAATACAAAATTGTAATGAAAGTGCCAAGAAGTAGAGCACGCATACCTACAAAGCTTCTGAAGCAGCACATCTTCTGCCTTGAAACTGAAACACTACACATCCACAAAGTGTGAACTATTCAACGTAGGTTATAGATGACAGAAGACCTGGTAAAGGATATGTTTTATAATAAGGTACCTATGCGATAGACCTCTATGTTATCTATATACCATCATATAATGTGTTAGTTTCTAAAAAGTGGAATAGGAACCAATTCGGGGTTGCTTTTTTAAAAACATAGGATATGTTCACATTCCTTTATGAAAGTTTATATGATGAACAATCCATTTCACTCCGCAAATCAAAACTTTATGCAATCCATATATGGAGAAGGTAAAGAACAGAAAGTATTTCTAATTCTATAAATAGTTCTCCAGTTTTTGGAGGTCAGATTTTGTCTTATAAATAAGCCCATTTCTCAGCACGGAAAAAGAAAAAGGGAGGGAGGGAGGGAGGAAGGTATTTTAGCACTGTAGTTTGGCTATTCTCACGGTAGTCTAAGCTCTTACTGTGTTGAGTTCTATGAATGCAGAAACACCTGCTAGTCAACTTACTTATGGTTGGCAGTTTTCATGCTATTTAACAATAATCTGGTCAATTAGGAAGTGACATGATAAGTATTTCTTTAAAAAACACCTTCATCAAAAAGGTGGCTGGTATTTTTATAGAATGAGAAACATTAGCTCTGGAAATAGGTCATTTACCCTTACTGTCTGAAAGAAAGTTAATGGTATTAACCACTAAGAGAATGAAGTAAGTTTTAAAATAGCCAAAAATATTGACTACCAACTAGTAGCTTTCTTTGGACTATTAACTTCAGTAAATTATAACCCATCATTAGTGTCTTTTATGTGGTTTTTTTTAAGTTCTAGGAGTTGGACACATAATTATAATTTAATATTGTTGCTATTTAATGTTGTAGAAACGGGATTATGAACAAGCAAATATGCTCTCACAATCAAATGCAACTCAATGTAACCTGTATAAGGAAGAAGTCTGAAACAATTGTGGAATTTTGCCAAATGATTCAACATTAGGCTGCTGTAAAGATCTGTATGACATAACTATAAAACAGTAGCTTTCCAGTGACATAAAGGCCAAAAGAGAAGTTTCACAGATACTGTTTCAGATTTCCAGTGATTGCTTGTCACTTGAGAATAACAAAAGAATAACTTTTAAAAAGTTATTATTAATTTTCACACTTTTACTTGTACTTTTACCTTCAAATGGGAGGTATTATAGAGGCACATTAACATGAGTTAACATCAAACACAGTAATTTTTTAATACAATTTAAAGTTGAGCATGTTCTATTTTTTATGAAATATTTTGAATTATCTTTAATGAGAGAATTAAATAAAACATTGGGCATTAAATAAATCCAAGAAGAAACATACTTGCACCTTTTCATACAAAACTTAGAATACTAATCTTTTTTAAACAAATCTTCATTGTATCCTTTCCACAGATTAATAATATATTTCTACCCCAATTTTTTCAAAGATATGACTCAATACTGGCACATTTAAAATTTCTAGCTGGTTTACTATTTTTATACTGATAGAAATACTGAAACATAGAAATATTTATAGTAATCAGACTTGATATACTAAGCATGCATCTCCAGCAACTAGTTAATACTAATTACATGGACTTACTCAGTATCATATCCTAAATAGGTTTCTGGTTATGTTAGGAGAGAAAATCAAACTCAATGGGAAGGTAACTTTCCCAACATTACATTTAAACTCTTAACTTATGTCAGCTCAATTCTGGATCATAGCTTGCAATTATTCCTGTGATTCAAATTCCTTTGTCTGAGGGAGGAATGAAAGTTCAGCGATTCATTCCTTAAGCTTAAAAATATTAGATATTATTCTGCAATTGAGTTTTTAAAAATATGAACTTATTTAGGGTGTACAAAGCCTGACCAAAGCAGTCTGCAGCACATCTGTAAGACAAAAACCATTACTTACTGTAGATTAGAGTGTGACAAATCAAATACAAGTGTTTCAATTTTTGGTTTCTTTCTTCTCTCGTTTTTATAACTAAAGCATGATTTATTTTTTTAAAAAAAATATAGTTCCACGTTTGACATACCTTAATAATTTTTACTTTCCAAATATTTCAAAAGGAAAATGGCAGAATGCAACTATTGTCAGCAACTGGTCATGTCAACAATCCCAGGATTTACAATCTAAAATTAAGCAAGGGCCTGCCAATTTAAAATCTACCATTTTCTGGAAATGTATCATACATAGTACTATTTAAAGGTGTATTGACACCATAATGTGTTTAAGTCCTAACAGATCTGACAAAAGCAGCTTGGTAGGCTGTTGTAAAGATACAATAATTGAAAAAGCCAAGCCTGGATTGAATCTTCATTATCTTAAATTAATGGATCAAACTGATGATTTATTAGACTAAGAAATCACTCAGATAGCACTAAAAATGGCTGCTCCTGGGTATACTTTTCAATACCTTTATCAAGAACTCAAAGGAACATCCATCAGGCTCCCCGACCAGTGGGCTGTCCCAGATGACACTGAAAATCTCATTATATTACCCGTAAAATGTATCTTGCAGCCTTGAGAATCTTTTTTCATTCATAATACACACACTAGACTTTAGATTAATAGAGGCCAGAAAGAGCAAAGCAGCAGCAACAGCAACAGCATTTAAAACCATTTCTCCCCAAAGAAAGCAAACTTAAGATTTGAAACAGACATTTTTCATCTCAATTAATTTACAAGTATATTACTTACATATAAAAAAAACCACAAAATGATTGTTTACATGGGACAATATTTGTAGCATTTACTATAAAGTTAATCAGAAAATATAATATTTCCTGGATATACCAAAACGAATTCAAGAATACTATTTTTGGTTAAGTCAATTTAATCATATTTTCCTTAAAAAACAACAACCCAGGATAATATAACAAATACAACTTACAGTATATTTTTAAACAGCAGAAGAAACAATTTCCCCCACTTTTTGTTTCTGTGACCAGAGTTGCTGCTGAAATCAGTTCTCATTTAGTTCATACCAGCTTGGAATATTTAATTTTTCAAATACTTATACAAGCTTCCTTGTTTGATTATTTCCAAAGCTGCTGTTGAAGCTAGATACTACCTTCCATATGTGCAGAATAGAATTTAACAAACTATTGTTAACAAAGTTTCATAGTGAACAATAGCACTATTACAATTATATAATAACCTTGTATTTAGAATAAAGAGACCAGTTACAGTATTTGTGAAGACAGTGTAACTTAAGAAAATAACAACCCTAAGCTACAGAACAATGGGTTTCAATTATAAGTCATTAAGAGCTGGACATTTTATTTAACACAGATGTACCAGAACATCCAAATGTATTTTCATATGCTGGCTTACCTTCAGCTGCTTTAATATAATATCCATTCTCTTTACTTGGAGGGACTTCCAGGAGCTGCATGATTCTATCCAATAACCCATGAATTATCTCAAAGCCAGGGTTTCTGTTATAATAGATAGCACAAAGATGCCTATGGTTTTTTGCACCTACATCTAAAGAGGGAGAAAGAAACAAAAAAATCAACAATTCTGTAAAACTTGCATTTAAAGACCGCATGTGTTCCTATCAGGTATCCACGTTTAACAAAACCATGGGTAGCAATTCATAGCTTTGATGGGTGACTAGTTGGTTTATCCTTCCTAATAATAGCTAACTACCAATAAATATGTCCAGTTGATTTGTAACATGCCTTATCATATTTCCTAGCATGATACATGGGTACATGTTATGTCCAGCAACTAGCCATCAATTATTTGCTTGGAGGTTGAATGGTGAATAAAGAAGAATGTGCAAAAAATATTTTTTTTCAGAAACTTATCTTATTGCAACATAAACTTGTAACTGATTGGTATTAATTCAGAGGATCACATGATTAATATTCCCCCACTTTAACAGCCAAGTTTTAGCAAAGTCATCTTACTGACACACTATGTTTTAAAAGCTGCACATATTATCCTAATACACCAAACCAGAGTTATACATATTGGAAAAAGCTGCAGTTTTAGGCTCAGGCATCTTCTGTTTACCTGGATTTCCCATAACATGGCAAGAGACTGGGAGGAAAAGCTTGGTGTAACTTATTCTTCTTTATTCACATTGCAATAAATCAGAGATAAACAATCTGAAATTCCAGTCCTCAAACATCCAAAGTATTCTAAAATTTATCATTAAATTGTAATAGTATTTTGAGTGAAAATTTATTTTACTAGTATTAATTGTATTTGTTAGATTTTTAATTTAAATGAAATCATATTCAATTATATCATATTTTGGGGGGGTTTGTGCTTCCACAAGTTTTTTGCAACCTAATATACTACTAAAAAGCCAAATATGGTTGTGGGCAAATAAACATTTTATACCACTGTCATAAACTATGGTCCAATATGGTTTATATGTTGAATTCCTTTTAGTTGGAACATATAGTCAATAAAATGAAATTAGAAATAAAAATGATATGAAATTCATTTACTATAGACCATATAAAAATAATTGTTGCCAAATGCAGGGAAAATTTTCTTGGATAACCTTAGGGATTTTTTTAGCAAAATAGAAAGAAACTTATTGCCTCATTCCATAAAAAGATTTTCCTGCTTTTGTTTCTATTTTAAAGTGCAGAAGCCAAGTTATTAGGAAAAATTACAGATCTATTCTAGAGAGTTCTAAGTGCTGTCTGAAAAACCCATTCCTTACGATTTACAAGGAAGGTAATCATTGGGGACTCTTTGGAAGAAGCCAAGAAAATGTAACAAGAAATACTAGTATCTGCTGCCCCCTGGCAGCCAAAAAAATAAATAAATAGAAACACATTTTAGAAAATTTATCTTTCATACAGAATTGTTATCAGTATTTTAGCAGCAATACCTATACACTGATAACTCATGAAACAACTAATAAATGCATGTAAAAACATTTCTCTGTTCAGTATTTCTGTTGCCTGGTGCTTGTTCTCCAAAATGTCCATTTCAATAGTGACGTCATCAGGAGATGGTTCACTATCATATATTCATATATTGTACTATAATTCAAACTGAACATTCTACGCCATTGTTGCTATGCAATGGCCACACACCTGAATTACACATATTACTGTTTAGAACTATTTATTAATGAAAAATAATTATAATCCAAGTGACAAATGTGTTAAACAGTACTGACCAAATACAACTGCCAATAAATCAATTTAGTCAAAAGTAAGCATTGGTGAAAAAAATTGGCAACACAGTATGTTACTTAGTATGCTAAGTAACATATTTAGCATTAAGTATGCTAATTAATAAAACTGTGATGGCTAACAAATATCGTAGCTTTATCATTTTGAAAAGCAGAAGCAATGAATAGAATAGAATAGAATTCTTTATTGGCCAAGTGTGATTGAACACACAAGGAATTTGTCTTGGTGCAAATGCTCTCAGTGTACATAGAAGAAAAGATACACTTGTCAATAGTCAAGAATCATAAGGTACAACATTTAATAATAGTCATAGAGTACAATAAGCAATCAAATCAAAGCAGAAGCAATGCTTTAGAGGTTTTCAGAATATATATACATTTAAAAACAAAAGTTTTTTTTTCATAATACAGTATTGTAACAAAGGATCTCAAAGCAATCAGTTAACATATTTCCACAAATTAACCTTTTGTTACCCAGAAATCTATTTGGCACGTGCTTAGTTTGTGTAAATCCAGACAGCTGAGATTTATTAAGTAAAGCATAATACTGTAAACCACTTAGAGAGGGCTATAAAGCATTGTGAAGCGGGATGTATGTCTAGGTGCTATTGCTATTTAGCATAACATAATCCAGGCTAAAAATCCTACATTGTCTAAGTTTCTTGAAATGGGAAAAAGATAAAAAGTTGAATATATTTTAACAGAAATAGAGATATGCAGTGTCTGGATCCAAAACTGGCAAGAATGTTTGAGACCCACCAGGGCTATCCACTTTGCATATCAGTTACTAAAAAAGTCCCATTCCTTTAGGAAGGCTAAGCATATATACAGGTTTAGGAAAATACATGTTAAAAATAAGAAGTTGTTCCAGAGATGGCAACAAGTAGTGCAGGATGGCAAATATGCCAGAATTATGTATTCCTCTTGCTGGGAGAGTGCATAAGCTGAACATAATCATATGTGAGCATAGAAAGAGAAGAAATACGTCTAGTAAGGACACCATAATCATCTACTATGGCTGCTACAATTATGGGGAACTAATTTACATCCCTGATATTTACACTAAATGAATGAACATTTTCTTACCCATGGTGGAATCTTTCACTACAATATCAGAAATTTCAAAAAGTTTCAGAGGTAAAGGCATCTTTTTATTAGCTGTAATAGTTTTCAAGAGTCCAGGCAACAGTGTAGTCCGTGCTACCTATAAGGACATATAAGGTGCTTGATAAATTATATTTCCCTGAAACGAAAAGCTGCCAGTATAGAATGGGTTTCCACATAGTTGTTATTGAGGAAATAGGAGGAAAGAGTATTAAGTAAATAAGTTGTTTTTCAGTATTTTGGTTAACTTAAAAGCAGGCTAATTATCTAATAAACAAATATCTACATAATTGACCATAAATGCTTAATCCATATTTCTCCCTGATTCAGCACCAATTTTCATTCATTATTATCTGTCAACAAAGCTCAGCATTAACAATATTAGCTCATGAAAAAATATTAACTTTTCCATATTAATACATATTAAATAAACTAGAAAATGGATAAACCTAAGTACTACAAAAGATGTTTGCCTTGACAAGTGATAACTATAAAAATACTGAACAAAAGTAGGCATGCTAATAGTTTCTACTTTAGAAAATAAATAAATTAAGGTTCGGATGAATATGAAGGTGAATGTGTTGTCTCATTCACAACCTTGCCTGCTGGCCAGCCATATTACTGGTATGTATGGGCATTATTACACTCTAATATAATTTGAGTGTTTTTTTCCAAGATAACTTTTGCTATGCCGGCTTCAGAAAAGACCCAGCCTGATAAAAGCTGAATGTTCCTGAGATTTAGAGGAATTTTGGTTCCAAAACTGGAACCTTCCTCAAAATAGTCCCATTTGAGAATCTAAAATTGCTGACACAAACACTGCTGATGGTAATGTCCTAACTCTGGTACTTCATAAAAGTAGAAAAAACAGCAGTGATGTAACAGACATGTACTTTCCCAGACAGGTATGATTTCTTGGAGGTCTAAATCCAGCAAGCTATTTTATGGAAAGGATTGCAACAATTTTTTTCAGATTCATACTGACATTCTTGTAGTCCTCACCTGAAATTCAGCTGTTTTGGGATTGGCTATATGTACAGCTTTTGTTGCAGAAATATCAATCCCCAACTTACTAGCGATGTCTTCTTGGGAACACTGTATATGGGTACAGGAAGTCAATGTATTTAATCATGTTAAATTACAATTTACCTGCAAGAAGATTATTTAAAAGACTAAAAAAAGAAAAGAAGGCCCAATCCCCAACAATGATTTAATTTTCATGTTACGGTAATACCTAATTTAGTAATATTTTATTGCTATAATTATGCCCTTCAGGATTTTAATTATCATTGTTTAAGGAATAACAGTTTTTGTAATACTTTAGACTTAAAAAAATTAATCTGAAACAGTGCTGAAAGATTGGAGACCCACGTTACTAGTGCCGCTGGGCTATTACAAAACTCTTTCAGCACCATTCAAGTAGGAGCAAAGCCACTAAAATTGGAACCTCAAACCTCCATTAGGATTGTGCATGTGCATGCATGCAGAGACTGCCAGGATCAGCTTATAAAACAAGTCAGCAGTCATGTAAAATGATAGGCTTTAATAAGTTGAAGAGAGATACATTATATGCACACCACATACTGCAAAATACCTATCTGAAAGGAGATGTAAAACTTTTATCTTCGATTTCTTATCCCCAGATGAATTATCTGAACTATGTTACTGTCAATAAACACTGAAAAGTCTATCCGGATAGCTGTGGCTGTTTCAGTGCTGAAACTTAATTTAAACTGAGCAGTTTATCACTATAGTCTTCTTGAAGTTTCTTCAAAAAAGCCATATGTTTTGTTCAAAGCAGGTGAGGCTGCTAGCTCTTGCAAAGAGGTTTTCATCATTCTGAACACCTTGCAAGTGAAACCTTTAATCCAGCGGTCTCCAACCTTGGCAACTTTAAGACTTGGGAGCATGGCTGGATGGGGAATTCTGGGGCTTGAAGTCCACAAGTCTTAAAGTTGCCAAAGTAGGAGACCCCTGCTTTAATCTACTGGCATCTGCTGACATACATATTAGTATTTGCATTACAAATAAAAACACTGAAGGTGGTTTGAAACCTCTTCTTTTTTTTCTATTACAGTGATAATTGAACAGTCACCGTAGTTTGAATTTTCAGATGTTGAAAATAGTGCAAGAAAACTCCTTTTCTTTGCTGAAGCATGCTGAAGCTAGTTTGCTCCTTTATCAACAGCATTCTTCATAAAATAGGAATATTATTATGATTTCTTCTTGTGCTCTAATTAGAGTAGACAAAATAAATCCCCGCAACAATCACATTTTACCATTAGTGTAGCATCATATATGAAATATATGCTGGAGATATTAAGAAATCAAGGCTTCATAATTGTGGAGTGCTTCTGCAGTCTATCTCTTTTTCGAGATAGACTGATGCAGTATGCTCTACCCAAATCTTATTTTCAAGAAACAGAGTCTATTACACACATACCAGAGCAAAAGTGAGGGCTTCAGTAAATCCTGCTGCTGCCAAATCTTGCCTCAGAAGGTCTGTGAGTTTATTGAGAGGAAACTAGAAGAGAAAATAAAAATTCTTTCTGCTCAATGAATATCACAAATTTATGGAAATCATTGTTAGTTTACCCTTTAAAAAAAAGAATGGAATAACACCAAACAGTTACATCTGGTCTCTGCAGAAGAATGCAGTTCCCAATTAGAGATTGAATATATGGCCTCCAGGTTTAAACCTTGCCTTTCTGGAAGCCCATCCATTGCAAGTCTTTGAATTTCTTAGATCAGTTAGGCATCTGTTTTGTATCCTTGCTATGATAAACTCCCCTTGCTACAAGACATGACAGAAAATGTTTTAATTCTTAGACACAGTTTCCTTCTACAAACTCTTCTGGCATACTTCTAGCCTTTTAATTGACAATACAGACTGTTTATTTTAAGGGTGCAATCTTACTTGATTAGCTATGGTGTACGTTTTTGGAATAGTCATCTGAATGTTATTATAGCCATACGCTATTGCTGCATCTTCTATGATATCACATGCATGGATAATATCAGCTCTTGTAGGTGGGATTTCAACCTCTATATTGTTCCCATTCCCGATGACGTGTGACTTCAAACACATTCTAGTAAGCAGCTTGGCAAGGCTTGATGGTGTCTCACTAAAACAAAACACAAAAGTAATTTTTAAAGAATGTTTTGTAAAAAACTACATACTTTCATCAGTAACTTTCAAGCATTGTAATTCAACATAGCTAGGTACCCTCATAAATCATGAAATAATTGGACATGAAATAAATATTATCAGAGATACAATACAAATCCTGATGAAGCTGAACAATGTATAAGTTTGTTAGACTTTTAAATAAAAAATATACTGCTTTCAAACACTGGCATTTTCAGTGTATACAAAGCGCTTTCCACTTTCCAATCAAGCTACCATTTATATTTTAATATACAGCTAATAGAAAATCACCAATAGATGCATAAATGGTTTGATTTTTTCTATTAATCCAAACTATGTAATATGTTCTAGAAGTTGGGTTTTTAAAATGTTTTTTAAAAAGAAGATAGATAGTACAAAGATAAAATAGTACAAATTCAACCCAGAAAGAAAAAGAGAGACTAGGAAGTGCAAAAGACGAAAAAAAGGGAGGAAAATAAGAGAAAATAAAAATTTAAAGAAGTGTTTTCCAGTCTTCATCTTAACAAGTACAAACTTAAGTGATTTTTCACTGTCTATAAGGTTACATGTAAGTATCTCTTCTTTTCACAACCCTCATCCATTTGCAAATCAGTAAATCATTAACATTTTAGTCCTACTGCTAACAAAAAGTACATACAGGATTCCCAGAGTTTTATAGAAGCATATCTTATTTTAAATTTGGTCAAACAAACTAGCTTTGTTCTCCTTCCTTTTGTTTCTAACAATCTTGATTTTTAATTTATTCAGATGTTTGATAGGATTTATTTCTCTTCACTTATTCTTTATGCATCTGAAAGAATTCTTTGAGGCTTTAGCAAATTCTTTTGTAAATGACAGATTGCATGACTGTAAGGAGTCATTATCCAGATCACACTCTTGGATTATTTTGTCATCTGCAACTTAAAATCCACAATTTTTTTTAATTTTCCAGAATTTTTCCAATTTCTTTATCTACATATATAAAAGGGAAATACCACTCATGCATCATTACAAGATCTCCAGAACCATAAAGCCTACAAACTTGAAATTTGGCATGTATTTGGTGTTCACTAAGAAAGGATTTTTCAAAATGATCATCAGAGCATTAGTATTTCTTATATTATTATTAACACGCTCTGATGCTAAGGAGTTTTACTCCCCTTTCCCACCTGAAAAGAAATCTGTTCCAAATGCAAAACATAAGCAGAGGAGTTTCAGTTTTAGTTTCACAGCAGCAACCAGCTTTAGTACAGAACAGTTGAGCTAAAGCCACGCCCAGGCTCCTTGCGTCTCCTTCTTGCTTACACAGCAAACACTATTTCACTCTCCAAACAGCCCTCAACTCTCTCACACACTGACAGGACACTAGCCAGATGAATACCGATGGATGCTAATAGGCAGAGGCAGAGTTTTTTCCCCCTTATTTTCCTCCCCAAAAACTAAGCCTGACCACAGTTCCATAGCAAAGCATGGGTATCGAGCTACCACTCTAATATTTCTGCATCAGATGAGGTTTGTTTTAGCTCTTCATTCTGTAGATCTTAGTTTGATAAAATAAGAATAGTTCTAAATCAACCCAAAGATGATACTCAAGAGACAAGTAACAGCATTTAAACCAGATTCACAATCAGACAGACTGGAATTTAATGGGTTGTTGGTAGATCTGAAGGACAAGAAGTTTGGTTTGAAAACTGCAGACTTGTTGGAGAAGGTTCAAAGGGGCATGGATTTTAAAGACTCAGAATTGACAAAACTGCTGAGTGATGAACTGGACTTTCTCAAGGAGACAGATTATATTATTATATCCAACTGAAAAAGGATTTTTTGAACAACAAATGCTGTGGAGATATCTACAAGAGACACTTATTGTTGGGAAAGATCTCGGTTAAAATTAAAATTTAAGGAAAAGCGTTATTATTAAGAATCAAATGAGGATATTTGTCCTAGATGGACCAGATATAACAATTGTGGTGGTTTATGGTAGATTAGAAACCACTGTTGACTTTCTGTGACTGATATACAATATATATTGTTAACAGAGCGCTTTGAAGTTTATATTAGGCAGATATCACATCAAATTGGTTGGGTTGCAAGGGAGGAAACTATTATTCTTGAAATGTACATATCAGTATTCAACTAGGAGGGACAATCTATGTATTCCCCCCCCCCCCCACACACACACTTTTTCTTACCTTCTTTTTTAATGTCTTATTTAGTTTTGTTTTGTTCTTGTATTTTTATCTCTTTTTGAGTTTATATTTTAACAGTGAATACAATAAAAATCTTACTTCAAAAAAAGGTTATTTTAAAAGCATATCAAGTGGAACAACTGGTTGTCTTAGTCCTTAAAATCTTCTTGACAAAAAGTAATTTGTACTTTTAATTATATAGTATGCCCCTTTAGGAATTTACATGATGTAATTCAAAAGTTGATTAAAATTCTTGCAATGAATTCTCAATGATTGAAGTCAATCTATAATTATTTTAATGTTTACAAAAAAGAGGGACAACCAATCTGGTTAATTTACAACCAATTTGCTCATTAAATATTAACAATAAATCATTTCTGCCAAATCCCATTATAATAAATGTGTTGACTAAATGATCCAAGTGAAGATGCTAGCTAAGGAGCAAGACAGCTTTAAACCAGATCAATCATTTAAGCAATGTATCATTTTAAATCTTCTGGCAGGAAAATATTCCAGCTGCCAAAGAAGAATTCTCTAAGCAATTGTTCATTCCATTCCTAAAGAGAAGAAACTGGCAGCCACATGTATAGATCACAATTTACTCTGGCTGACTGTGATTTATGATTTATTAAATATTTATAATGCTTTATTTACTGTAATTTCTATTCCAATCAATTCCCAAAGGACCTAAACATCTTACAATAAACCAAGGATAAGATTAAAGCTAGGAGAAAAGGAAAACAATTACCAATCCTTGCAACAACCTAAGTGCTATGTTTGGAATAGGATGACAATCAGTTAAATGTTATCCAAATGTTCTCTTGAAGTACTGTCTTTTAATAGGTCGTTGAATGCACATTAAGGAAAGGAGGTATGAGTAATTAAAATACTTGTCCGAAAGGTCTCCAATCTATACTGAAATTCATTAGTTTTTAATGATAATTCTGATACTGCAGCCATTAAATTGTTTCAATTCAGTATGCTTTTGCTATTTAGTGCTCAACTTTTTATCTACAAAGAAACACTGATTTTATAAACAATTAGGTTGAAATTTATAAGAACTATGCCACGTGGATTTCATTAATGATGGTATGTTTCTGTAAGGTTCACATGAGAATTAGTGGCTTGAAATACTATTAAAACTACTTTGGGGATGAATACTTGGTTCAGTTTATCTTCATTGAGAAGTTGGACTTGGACTACAGAATGAAGCTTTAACTACTGTTAGGAAGCCATTGGTAGTATAATTTCATTCCATTTTACATACATTAATCTACATTAATGAATTTAACATCGAACTCTCAGCGGTATGGGAATTCAGTAACATCCCATACTCAGATCTTTCTGTCCATGGTTAAATGAAGCCGTTGTGACAGTTTTGCAATCTTGCTGAGTCTTCCATTATCTCACATTTGGCGATGAGTTAATATTTCCCTCTGCTTCATTTAATATGTAGCTTAGCCTTAACTATAGGTTAAACACTTTCTAGCAGCAGATCAATCTACCAAAACTCCTATCAAATTTTCCAGATTATGCTCAATTATGATTGCTGCCAGAAAATGCTGGGTTTGAATGTTTAAGCTTCAATGACGATTTATCTTTTCGTTTGGTCTCTGGCTATACATTCAATCAATTTGTAAATAAATATGTGACAAAGATAGGTTTACTGATAAAAATAGGTTTCTGGATTAGATCTGATAACAGAGTGCCTGAAAAACTCTGTACTGAAATCTGTGTTCAGACCTATTCATTTTATCATAGTAATGAATGAATAGATTGGAAAGTCTAGCCCATACTCACTAGCAGCAACTGGTTCCCATAGACTAAGAATGAGGCATGGTCTTTATCACATAGAAAGTGAAAGCTCACATCCCTCCCTCTTTAAAAGGGAGAGTCTTTGTGCTTGTGCAAGACAGCAAACAGATCTCCAGAGGATGGGAGAATATCAAGAAGCTGTGTGCCAGGAAGGGAGAAGAAAGCTGAGATCATTCTCTTTTAGCCCCAAATTAACGTTTGGAACTTCCAGAAAAACAAAAAAGCACATCTAGGAAAATTGAAATCAGAAGGAAAATTTGATTAAAGACTATTATTTGGAAAACACTAGACAATTATCTAATTGGAACTGCACCAGATTTATTTTTTGTTTGTGTGCTATCATTTTTATATCTCTGCACAATTTAAGGGCCCTGACATTGTCAATTTGAACCAAACTTTCAAAGATCCTAGGCTAACCCTTAAAAGCCTGTTAACTCTTACTAGCAGGAGATTTGTGACACCTTGTGGTCTGCTAGAATTCTTATATTTACATTTATACATTTATATATTCTGCCAAATCCTTTCTCTTGTTAACCTATCTTCTCATTTAGTTTGACAGAGAATTCATAATTTCCCTTTCTCTTCAGTAATAGTTCTATTTTTACTTTCACAAGTTTCACATTTTCTTCCTTTTCTTCCAAATAACATCAATTTTTCTACTTCAGGACATTCTCTTGGCATTAAAAGAAAATAGTTTTTCCTCTGTTAGATTTTCTATGCACCTTTTATCTCTTACTAACCTTCTGCATATTTTATTAGAAACCAACCAATCAATCATGCATTTAAATGTAGATTCTTTCCCTTGCCATGTGTACAAATGAATAAAATTATGTATAAATTATGTATGCAAAATGGATCTTTTCTAAATAAAAACTCACCAAGTATCCCAACATTTATTTAGGTCTCTTGTTTCATGCATGTTCATTCATGTCATCTAATTTAATCACTTTGTTCCCAGGATCACATCCTTTCAGATTATTGTACATTTTTTCCCAAAAACCTGGTTCTTTTCTTGCCACTACTTACTCTTAGATGCCAATTAATTATTTCTGGGATGTAGTACCATTCTATTATTGCTTAAACTTACACTATTGATTCCATTAAGGTATCTATCAACTGAATTCTATAAAATCAGACAATCTATAATCAGATATATTACAACATTTTTCTTTTGCTCACAGTCATAGATACACAATGTATCAATTATTTTCATTTCATTCACACTGTTTACCATTTACCTGCCTTACAATCCTAGCTGCAATCTTCTATATGCTGAGATCATTGCCAGATGAGCCTCCTAGATGGGATTTGCTACCCATTATGCTTTTGGCAATCCAGCTTTGTCACAGTGTTTTTTAAAATATGTAAGTTATAGATTAGGTCCCAAACCTAAACTGTACTTATGCCACAAAGAGCATTCTCTGCTCATGATAAGAACAATACCGAACATTTCATTTTGATCAGTATGCCACATGCACAACCAAAGCCAGTTTTGCTGCAAGCATACTCACAATATCCTATTCAAGCTAGGATCTCAAATCTAGAGACTACTTTGCAAGCTAACATGTTATCACACTTACTAAGTTGTGATTTAATAGTATTACAGTTTGTACAACAAATCAAGAAGTCTGGCTAAATAATATACTTCTAATAAATTATGACTAGTCTTGCCTATTCTTATAAAAATTACCATTGATTAGAACCAATCACACAAAAATCTTATCACACATGTGCATTCCATACACATTTTCTAAAGAAAAAGAACATACCTAATTCCAATCTTCTTATTAATTATTTCGGGTTTTATCTTTTCACGACGATAGGGCAGCTCCTAAAAGATGATGACACAAGAAACATTGCTCTAATATCATTAGACTTGCTTCCAAAACAAACTTAGTTTTCAACTAAGTATTGCTAATCAGAGTTTTACTATTTTAAAATATTAGTAATCATTATTAAACAATGTAATCAATCTTTCTGACTAAACATATGATAGTAATACTTTTCATAATCATCCATCATATGACATTTAACAAGACATTAGCATCAGATATGCACAAAACAAATAGCTATAAATGAATATGAACTATCCCAGGCTTTAAAAAAGCTTCTCCAGTATGCATTGCCAGGCAGAAAAACACCAATAACTTATCAACATCTACCACATATAACTAACTGCTTGTCGAATCACCTTCTGATATTTGTAGCAGTATTGAGTGATTCATTCTCTGGAACATGCTGTTACTGAAAATATGTGCAGCCTCTACTTTGTTAGTATATTATATGTTATAAATTTTGCATTGGCTCAGAATTGTATTATTTTTCTTTCAATATAGGCAAGATTCATAGTGTTCTGTTTTTTCACTGTGTTTTTTGCAGGAAGGTCTTATCCAAAAGATCAGAAGAATATCTGTTAGAAGTTAACTAAGAGGGGGAAATGTCTGCTTCCTTATATAAGGTAGTTAAAATATAAGAAATCTGAGATTTCAACTATGCTTTGGATTGTAATTATTTATTTTAACATATAGACAAAAAAACTCTTACAGAACTTATACATAGATTAGACATAAACAAACCTTTTGAACCTGAGAAAACATAAATATTATCAGTATATGCTAGATGTATTTATAAAATGGCATGCAGTAGGAAACTTAGCTGTATATTAAATGACTTCCAGCGGACGGAGAAGATCACAAAACAATAGGTATCAACAAAAAATTTCAAATTAAAACTATTTGGAATTTGAAATAAACTGCTTGGAGTTCTAAACAGTATTTTTAAAGGCAAAACTGCTCTCTTGAACAGTTTTTTTTTTTAGTTCAAAACATTTCCAAAATGAAGCCTAGCTTGTAATACTTACAACTGATTTACCCTTCAGTGCCTGGAGCATTCAAAATTAAAAATGATTCAAATTTGAAATCCAAATAGAACATTCATTTACCAGAACACAAACTGAGTTTCTTTCCAGAGAACTTTCTAACTCACTAGGATGCTCTTTACCACTATCACTTACTTCTAATTTTTTTTGAAAAATCTTAATTCTATTCTATAGGGTCAACATCCTGAGGACAATACCCATGCTTTGGTAAATCATGAGTGAAGCAATTTAGTTCAGATAAAATATGAAGTTAGAAAATGCACTGCAGTGGACAGGGCTATCCATTTGATACAGCAACACTTTAAAATATATCTTGGGCAACCAGTATATTTTAATATATTAAATAGAACAACGTGGGAAATAGTAATAATACCATTCAGTAAGGAAGATCTATGGAACTCAGAAGGGGTAATAAAGACAAATGTCGAGAATTACTTTCAGAAGATAAAATATCTGAAAAAAATTACATATACTAGCTTTCCTTTCCAAAAATGTTCTGTTTCTTAAATATATAAAAACTCTTATGTTAGCTTTTATAATACTCACTGGAAAGATGTAGCTTTTTCCATTAGGATAAGTTACTTCTACTGCTTCAACCCTTAAAGAGAGCAAAAATACACAATTAAAGCAGAGGCTACAACAAACATGTATACTATTATAAAAGGAAAAGTCAGACTAACTCACGTAAATGGCTTATTGCAATATTCACTAAACATTGTAACCAGGATATCGAGTACGATTTTTGCCTGAAAGACAGAAAGCATACCTATTTCTTAAATCAAAGTATTTAATTATTAAATACTATAAGTAACTGTATTAAATTAATGAATATTTTAAATACAAAATTACAATATCAGTTCATAAGAAATCTTTAAAAACTTTATTAGTTTTCCAAAACTGTCATGAAAAACCAGGCAACTAAATTACTAACTAAACCAATTAACAAATTAAGCGTCTGCATGTCTATGAAGCTGACAAAAGATCCAAACTCTGAGTAGTTCATTACATTATATACATTTATATCCATTTTAATTTCTAGAGACATAAAAATGACCCCAACAATTGATTGCCATGATTCAATATTTTCAAATAGTTTATAAAGCATCAAACTTACTCCTTATATTCACTTTGAAGCAGGTCACATTTCTAAAAACCAAACACTGATCAGCAGTTAAGGTCAGTTTCAAAGGGACATCATTCTTATTTTATTTTGTAGATCAAGATTAACTTTGCTCAACCTTTGCTGGTCAAGGGTATTTACCTTGGTAAGATCTGTGGCTGTACACTCAATGAATACATTTCTAGTGTTGAGGCTAATTTTTGAATGTTCTCCTAAAAAACAGAAATACACTGGAATTGAAGATGCAATTTTTTGTATTGTTGAATTGAAAAGACTGGGGTTTATAGATCTTTCTATCGAATAATTAGAGCTACTATACTAGAAAACCTAACAACCAGCAGAATAAATATGCATGCTGAGATCCAAGTAGTCTTTCTTTAAACAAACAAGAGCTTGCAGGTCCTATAGGTTCTTGTTTCTCCTTGTTTATAGCCATTCCTAATTTTGTATCAGGATATTTGAGAAGACTCTGAAATCCAGACATGATTACACCTACATTATTTTGGGGACCAGGCTCTGCAGCTGAAATTACTGGTGAAGGGTACAATATAGTACAATATAGTCAGTGGAAAGTTCTACATTTGCTATAATTTTATACACCTAGGTGGTTTACAGAGTCAGCATATTGCCCCCAACAATCTGGGTCCTCATTTTACCAGCCTCGGGAGCATGGAAGACTGAGTCAACCTTGAGCCGGTCAGGAACAAACTACCAATCTGCTGGCAGCCAATGATCAGCAGAAGTAGCCTGCAGTACTGCCTTCTAATCACTGTGTCACCGCAGCTGAATTTCAGTGGTAATTGTGGTTACAACCTGCATAAATAGCATGGCTTCCCTAAGAAACTGATGTCATTTGAACTGCAATAAAGTGCCAAAGTTATTCTTTGAAAAATGAAGCAATACTGCCTATAGCTAAAGACAACACTGGTGCATCAATGGATAGATTGTTTATATTTGAAACATGTTGCAGTATTTATTTAAAGAACATGCAAATATATATTAAGTGTAATCTCCAAAATATGATTAAATTATGTTACATCATATTTCGTTAAGGAGCTGAAATTATGAAAATCACTCTGTCATCAGTTTTATAAATGTTTTAATGGACCAGAATCCCCAGTTCCTATGCTGTCTAGAACTCATTAACTATGTTGCTTCATAATAGGAATGAATGTCTGCAATCTGAGCAGTGTGCATAGCAGTTTCGCTTCCCCATCTGTAAGCAAGAATTCTGAAATTCTGGCTTCCTATGAAGTACAAATGCACTTCCCATGAGGGTTCACTAGGAACCTCAATCTGTTCCCATAACAGATTTTTCTGTTCTTGTTCTTTACAGAAAGATACTCAGTCTCATTCCAAAATCAAATTCTTGAAAAATCTGTAACTTTAGGTACTTTAGGTTTTAAGTAATATGTAGAAATGCATTTTACAACAATAACATTCATCATCATGAAATGAGCTTCTGATTATCTATGTTTCCCCTATTTTCTTATCTTGGGAGCCTTCCCCAAATATGTTCCGGATGTACCGTATATGGGAAGGATGAAGACAGAAGAAGAATCCAATCTGCTTGTAGCATCTACTCTCCTGATTAGATATATATACCTAAGTGTACATATGAGAACCTTGGTGCTTTCTGAGCTTGCTTGTTTTCTTGCAGATGTTTCATTATCCAAACTAGCTAACATCCTCAGTGCTAGTTTGGGTAATGAAACACCTGCAAGAAAACAAGCAAGCTCAGAGAGTACCAAGGATCCCTCATGTCAACCTTGAGCTACAAATATTCTCCTTTATTAGTACATATGAGAACTTCAGCTAATTTAAAAATAAAAAATTATAATCCATTTCTGTTAAAGAGTTGAAACAATCAGATCTTGAGAATATATTCAAAAAGCATGAAGAAAGGAACAGGGGAAAAAAAATCTTATATTGAGGAGTATGTCCTGAAATAAATAGAACAAATTTCAGACTGTAACAGTATGCCATTTCCTACTTCTCTCATTTAACTGAGGTTAAAACAAATGTTGCTAAGAAAAGTCTTACCATTAATTATTGGTGGCATGGAGAGAACAATACCATTGCTATCATAGATAACTGGATAAAGTGATTCATTTTCAATAATATGTAGATAGTGTCTAAGATGGCTATCCGTCTAAAGCAAACAAAAGTTAATGTTTATATCTTTCCTCAGAAACCCTTACATAGCGTCATCTTATAATATCTGTATAACATACATTAATACCTATAATAGATGCATCAAGGTTATATATGAATGATTTTTTTCATTGGAAAAAGTCACTATATGCTAGAAAGGTGATTGGCAATTCATTTATTTCCCAGTATATTCCTTATGGCACATTTCTTATTCAAAAGTCTACAACCAGATATGAAATTAGAAATAGAACAATCTGTAAAAACTCAACTGGCTTTCAATTTATTGCTAATCTGTATAAAACAAGCAAACTATCAAGGAGTTTGGATGTTGACCAATTCGTAACAGAATATAGCACACACTACACTGTGACCATAGTGCAATAATTTTACAGTATCACTAGAAGAGAAAATTCTAATGTTATCCATTATGGGAGAAAAACATTAAAAGCAGATTTTATTTTACAGGACATTAGATTTCAGGCCAAGGCCCCTAAAGTGTTGGGGAAATGGAACCAGTAAAGTAAATTTGGCAGGGAAAGTATAGAGAAATACATGAAGGATTCCTTATTTGGGTAGGAAGTTGGACAAGAAGACCTCCAAGATTCTTTCCAGCTCTGATTCTATGAAGCATAAGAAGATACATGAAGAGCAAAAACCGGAGTCTAATCCAAACAGCAATATACTGTAAACAGCTGTTTAGCTTTAGCAAGATTGTTACATCACAGTTTTTCAGATAGAACTATTATATAATGTCTCCTAAATCACAAAGTGGGCTCGCAAGCTCAGTTCTATGCTATGACAACTAAATGAACAAATCATAGTTAGGGCAAGCACTTACTTCAAGAAGCAACAGTACTGTGAGATCAGAAATGAATTTACAAAAAAGATAAAACCTATTTTAGCAATGCTCAAAAGTTTACTGGATTACTGCATGATCTAAGGTTTTCTACTACCGGCCAAATGTTTTGGAATATTCCTAGTTATAAAAGTTGGATGTTCTCCCAAATCCATGACTTCACTAGGAGTCTCAGTTACATTGTATTGTTTATGTGTGTTTATTTTTTTACAGGTTATAGACATTGTTCTTGTTTATACTATCATGTGATGATGTCTGCATGTATTTATAATTGTATTCATCCAAAGTTACTATGCTGAGATAGATGACCATATACATTATATCAAATCATAAACAAAGGGGAAAATATCAAGTTGTTTTAAAGTAACCTACCCTGTACATTTCCATGATTTCGGGAGCACTATATTCTTTATCCTGATTCAATGGTTTGAATTTAATTTCAGGTGGTGGTTTAGCTGTATATATAAATGGGCCAGAGATTGTATCTAGATCATGACTACCAATTGCAACTAATGATCTCTTCCTAAAAAGAAAGCAAAATGAATTAACATCTCTTCTAGATTCCCATTAAACAGGGTACCGATACAGCTAGGGATAAAGTAACAGTTGTTACATTCTTGTATAATAAATATTATTCATGAATAATAAACTTTGAATATTACACTGTAATTTGCATCTGAAAATGAATACATACATATTATATGCAGAAGTTTTCTTCCCTTTTTATTTACATCTGATTTTTAAAATACCATATAAAAACAGTGTTCTTTAGCATTTTCTTTTCAACTTAAACAGATTCTAATTCAATATATTTAATATTTCAATAAAAATAAATTATTTTTCAGAATACAACTAACCTGCATATATTTTGATGCAATTTCTCTTGTAGGTCAATGAAACTATCATAGCGGTCTTTGACAAAAGTTATATTACGAAGAACTGCAGCCACTGCATAAGGACGGATTTGGGCAGTCTGCCATAAAATGGATATAATTATTTGTGAAAGACAATTTGGGTGAAAATATTATATGCTCCATAAAGCAATCCATTATTTAATAAAATTAAGCCTTCCTCTTAAACAAAAACATTTAAGATAACTAATCCTGTAGATTTTAAAAATGAGTATTAATTGTATTCTTTATATGTCTGTATTCAAAGAAAAAGAACAGCAGTACAGTTAATCAATATAATAATTTTATGCTTGTTGACTCTTAGCTAACCTCTACAAAAATTGACTTAAATTTGAAAACATGTATTTACAATCTATGCATCAAGATGAGGATTCAACTTTACTTACCTCTTCACTAATGGTAAGTCTTTGAATTTCACCATTGGGTGGTGTGATTTTTTTATATCGTGGAGCCCTTATTCTAAAATAATGAGATTTTAATATTAAAGATCAGCTTTGGACGCATAAAATTAGGCTCCACCTTAATGCCTATCCCCCATACCCAGCTAGCACATAGAAACATACAAATTCTTCCAGCATGATTCAAAAAGCTACTTTGAGCTAAAAAAAATTAAAATCTGAAATATTTTGTCTATCACTAGCAGATAATTCTGTCATTATTATCAGATTCCTAATCATAAAGGATTGTGTCTTAAATATTTTAAACGCTATTAAATAGCAGCAAAATGGAAATGATTTGCCAGAAATTTGTTTCAATTTCTTACTTTACTTGAAGCTACATATCTAAAAAGTATGAAATGTTTATGATTTAAAGTAATATAAAATATTGTTTAACCAACAAGCAAACAAATTATATGGGCCCAAAGCAGTTCAAGCAACCTGAATTTCTAGTTATTTCTGAATCTATCCTTTACAAGCACTTAGACATTTACCGCTTCACAATGCTTTACAGCCCTAAAGCTTTACAGTCAGCATACTGGGTCCTCATTTTACTGACCTCAAAAGGATACAGATAGTTACAACAGCAAATGGTTTACCATGATTGAGCAATATGATTTTAAAGTATGATTTCACATGATCATATCACTTAGTGAACGAAAATCCCAGATTATTGGTCAGGAATAACAGCAGTCCAAGGTAAGAAGAATGGTATGGCACAGAAAAGGAGGCCTTGGGATCGCAGTGCAGGCTGCATATGAGTTGGGAAAAGGCTTGGGAGACCTGCTGTAGGCCTCATGCAAGTGAAGGAAAGCCTGGGGTGGATGGCACAGTGCAGTGTGACTGTAGAAAGGCTAGTGGAGTGGATGGAGTGGCAGGCAAAAGCATGGGAAGGCTGGGGGTTGATGGCATGACATTGCCACAAATACAGGAAAGCCAGAGAGATTTATCAGTGTGACTTGTAACCTCTTTTGTAAGCTTCCATATTGATTTTGCTTGTGGGAAGGCAAAAGGGAAGGTTGAAAATGTCAATTACATGACTTAAAACATTGCAACCATTAGTGCAAACCAGATTCAAAGCAACCAAATCATGACCATGGGACCAGAAAATCAAGGATCAGTTGTAAGTACCACTTGTTCAGTGTCATTACAACTTCAAACAGTTGCTGAATGAAATGGTTGATAAAGTGAAGACTACCTAAAAGTGTAAAGTTTGAATTATTAGGTTTGATTTGTTGCTAAAGCACAAACACATTAAAAATCATTCAGGAATTGAGATGTTTCGTCTTACTGCTTACTTATAAGCCTAATACAGCATTTAATAATAGTCATAGAGTATTACCTCTCTTTAAAAATCTGAAGACCTCTGACTAGCCCTTCCAAACAAAGGAGATCATATCGATTAGCAGGAACATCAATTTTATACAGAATAGTTTCTGATGCACCCTCTGCTTTTCCATCACCTTTTTCTTTGCTTATTATGTCCTTCTCGGAAGTCTAAAATTTAAAAAAAATGTATAAAACATACAAACACAAACTTATGGGTAGACATCAATGTCAAGCAGCATGAGTCTTTTGCAATATACCTTTTAACTCCTCCTATACAACTCTACCAATGTTGCTTTTGAAACCTTCAAAATCCTTTTGAGAGACTGTGAAGTTAATGGAAGCTTGAAGACAGAAAAGAGAAACTACCTAAATCTTTTGTTTGAAATAGTGAAGGCAGTAAAAACAATATACAGGTAGTTCTCAATTTATGACTGGTCACTCAGCAACCATTCAAAGTTCACAGATTCCCCAAAAGCTACTTATGACCTTGTTTCAAAGTTATGGCAGTTGCAGCACCCTTGCAGTCATTACTCCTTATGACAAACTACAGGGATGCTGAGTACTCAACACATCATTGGATCTCTGCAACCACTCATCTACCCAAGGAGATCAGGCCAGCTGTAGTGGGACCAAGACAGCTGGAGTTTGCAAGCCTCCAATTTCCTTCCTATCCAGCAAGAAAGGGGAGATCAGGCTGGCCAAAGCCTGCAAATGTCCAGCTTCCTTCCTTTCCAAGGACTTGCAGTATTCAGCCTCTTCCAGGCCTAGCAACATCCAACTCTTCTGTTTTTTGCAGCTTCTGACAGAGGCACAGAACATCACAAAACTGCATCTTGTTAGATGCCCAAGTCTGTCAAAATCCTTCTGAATCACGAGTCTTATCTTTCGAAGTGTTGGCAATTCCTCCCAGCTTAGTGTTTCTTGCAAATTATCCCCTCACCTAGATCATTTATGAAGATGAGGCCCAAGACAGAACCTTGAGATACCCCACTGCTTGCTTCCCTCCACATAAGTGAAGCTCCATGGAGGACTACATACTGAATCCAGTTGATCCACAGCATTTCCCTGATCCACTAAAGTTTGTCTGGCATAATCTGCTTTTAATAAATCCATGCTGGCTTCCAGTAATCACCTTATTCATTTCTAGATACTCAACGTATTATAAATATATCATAAAGCATGTTCTGACCAGCTCGCGTGTTTACAAATACTTTTAACCTTTCTCTTACACAAGCCATTGTTCCATCTTGTCTCAAAACTTCGATTATTATTCCAGTTCCCAAAAAGCCCTCTCCTGATACTTTAAATGACTATAGACCAGTAGCTCTCACACCCATAATTATGAAGTGTTTTGAAAGACTGGTCTTAAAATATATACAGAATTGCCTCCCATCAAACCTTGACCCATACCAGTTTGCCTATCGGAATAACAGATCCACAGAGGATGCTATTGCCATGGCTCTCCACGTTGCACTGAACCATCTGGAGCATAGTGGGAGCTATGTAAGGATGCTTTTCATTGATTACAGCTCAGCTTTTAATACCATCATTCCAGCTATACTGATTAAGAAGTTGCTAGAATTGGGCCTCTCCTCTCACATCTGCTGTTGGATAAAGGATTTTCTTACTAACAGACCCCAAACTGTTAGGATTGACAGTTATTTTCCCTCTGCTCTTGCTCTCAGGACTGGCTCTCCACAGGGGTCTGTGCTGAGCCCCCTTTTGTATTCACTCTACACCTATGACTGCACTCCCACTTGTCCCACTAATCCTATAATAAAATTTGCAGACGACACCACATTGGTGGGACTCATATCAGAAGATGAAACGGCCTATAGGTCAGAGGTTCTCAGACTGGTCTTGTGGTGCAAGAGTCATAACCCCGCCCTGAACATCCAAAAGACCAAAGAATTGATTATAGACTTCAGACGATGCAAAGCAGAGCTTCTCCCACTATATATCAATGGAGACTGTGTGGAAAGAGTTCATAGTTTTAAATTTCTAGGAACTCATATTTCCGACAACCTTACATGGTCGGTTCACACTATGGCCACTACAAAGAAGGCCCAACAGTGCCTGCACTTTCTGAGGCTGCTGAAAAAGAGTGGTCTGGGTGAGAAGTTGCTGGTTACTTTTTACCGTTCTACCATCGAGAGCATTTTGGCATACTGTGTAACAGTGTGGTATGCTGGGTGCTCTGTAGTGGATAAGATGATGCTCCAGAGAGTTATAAGCACAAAAAATCATCGGTTGCTCTCTTTCTTCTTTGGAAGAGATTGCGAAGACCAGACTCCTCTCTAGAGCACAAAAAATCTCCACAGAAATGGAGGAAGGCGGAGCTGGCGTCGCGACGATATGGCATGCGATCTTGGAGGTCTGAAATCGCTGCCGATATCTTTGCTCCTGGACGGTCCTATCGGATCTAAACCGTCCCGAAGAGATGGTGAAAGTGAAGAGCGCATCCTGTCGATCCCAGGGATACCGCAAAGTCCCTGGTAGATCCAGAAGAAGCTTTTCTTGCCAGCGGCAAAGAGGCAGCCATTAAAGCTGCTGAAGTTGGGACAGCTCCGAAACGAAAGAGAACGGAAAGAGTGTGCCGGTTTGGTGAGAACTTTTTCTTTATTCTAAGATCTGAAAGGACACCCTAAGGAAAAGAATGAATCTGTAAAAGTTTTGACAGAAGTGATTAAGCGGCGATTTTAAACAGGAATGTCAAAGTAATGTTTTTTTCTCATTGCTGGATTTTTTTATTCATGATCTCATATTTTGAAACTGGACTGGTTTTTTCTTTTCCATCTGTTTTTTTTCTCCTTTTTGATTTTGTAACATTTTAGGCTACAGACTCCCTTTTAGTTATTTCTTTTTTTAAAATATCTTTCTTTTTTTATTAATTCTTATTATATTTTGCTTGGAAAAGGAGGGGGAAAGTGAAAGCAAAGAAACTTTGTAACACTGCCAACTAGAGGCTTGGAAATATTCTATTTCTCCTGTAACCAGACAAAGCTGAGAAAGAAAGACCTGAGACTTTTTTTCAAGGATGTTGCTATTTGATAAGATAGAGGGAAGAGCATGGGAGAGTATTATTGCAGGTGCTCTTCTGGGTTTCTAACAACAGCTGGAGTCTGGTGTTGAAACCTAGGGGGAAAAAGGTGATAAGTTTTTGGAGAAGAGAGTTATAATAAGAGCCTTGGATAATTAAACAAAGTGCAGTGTACTCTTTTTACTTTTTCTAAGTTGTGCTATCCCTCCTCACCAGCTTTATTTTATTTCATTTTATCTTTTTTTTGCCATAGCTATTTGGATCTTTGGCTTTGTTGGAGCTTGTCTTTGTTTTTCTTTGTTTTTTCTTTTTTTTGGAAGTCCAATCTCTACGCTTGCTTTTTATTTTAAAGGGAAAGCTTTAGTATTAATGTTTCCTTTTTTTTAAGGGAATAGCCTTTTTTCTCTCCTTTCCTGGTATTTTTTTTTCATCTACCTTTCTGGTTTATTTTTATGCACTCTTTTCTATTTGAGACCCCTCAATTGGATTAAGGTGTTGAAGAACCTGAAGAATTTTTCCTTTCCTTTTCTTTTTTTCCCAAGCCTTTTTCTTCATCTAACTACTGATTGGATTAAGGTATACAAGAACCTGAAGAAATTTTGTCCTCCCTTTTTTTTCCTTCTTTTATCATTACTATTTGCCTTCTTTTTTCTACTATTTTTATTTCGAACTACAATTGGTTATTTCACAATTGGATTAAGGTTTAGAAGAACCTGAAGATTTTGAATTGCTTAAAATGAGTAGGAAACTTACAGCTCCTGGTTCTTCAACTTCAAATTCTTCCTCTCCACCATCTGGAGGACAACGTTCAATACAGACAACGTTAAAGCAAGAAAAAGAACAAGAAAAAGTGACTCTGCAGATGATTATGCAAGGAATTCAAAATATTCAAGCAAGATCAGAGAATATTGAAAAGAGAATAGAGAACATTGAACAAAGAACAGAGAACATTGAACAAAGAACAGGGAAAACCGATGAAAAAGTGGGGAACATCCAACAAATGATGTTGAAGTATGATGAGAGATTCCAAAAAATTGAAGAAGATAAACAAAGAGACAAGTGTTGCGTTGAGCGACCGGTCTGTTGTTTAGATCTTCAGGTTGATTG